CGCTGTTCACTAACGGTGGAAGAATATTTAGGTCGACAATATCCTCAGTATCATGAGTGATTAGCAAGTCCAACGGAGAAGAACATTAGTTAGCACCAAAGCGTGTGGGTTTGGATACATGCTGCACTAGTGCATGCTCCACTATTGTTACCAGGAACCTACTATCTAAGGAGTTTATAGATCCTTCCGTGATCATCTCAGTCCAACTAATATCAGGTGCATTAAAGTCTCCTATTATCAAGCATCTGGTATTTGCACTCCAAAGATGAATGTGCTCTAAAATAAAGTCATCAGCTAAACAGATCGGACTGCGATAGATGACACCGAACATAAATGTACTCCATGCGATAGCCAATTTATAGCTAATGACTTCACAAGTACCGCTATCATGGGATTCGCTAGCAGAGGAGTGGATGTTCATATTATTGGCTATATATAACAGGAAGCCACCTCTTTTTCCACATATATGTCTATCATTCCCGAGGTAATGGTATCCGGATGATTCTGGAGTGATTTCTAAGTCATGGACTAATCAAGTTTCTGTCACTGCTACAATGAGTAGCTTTAGTCTGTCCACTAATGCTTCTATTTCATAGAACTTATTTCTTAGATATAAAACTCCTAAGTGGAACGGCCTATCCACACAGGTCTTGATAGCATTCGCTTCCAAGACCTGACTAACCGAAAACCCACTAGCCGGAGATTTTCCTCACCGTTCTGCCGACGGGTTTCTAGTCCAGCTAGTGCTCTCTTCCTGACCTGAACTCCTTTAGTCCTCAGTAATAAGGATAATAGGTTGATGAACCTGTGCTAATCCTGACAGATTGTATTCCAGTGAAGGTTCAGTTTCTCCTTGAAAATATTCACTGATGAAGCTGATACCACTTGTTCGGGTAAGGTGATCCATTGATTGACTACTCGATGAGAAAAACGGAACCCCACTTTCAGTTTATTAGATCGTGGTTTATGAGCACTCTTGCTATGACCTCGGAGATTATTAGTGCTGAAGCGAGGACAAAGATAAGACATATTAACACCCTAATCATAATTAAAGATACGAGATGCCAGTATAAGGTTACCTCGATACGACAAGTGGAAAAGGTTTAAGCGTTTTAAGCGCTCATCGTAAGGGAATTCAGAGATACCCTTCACTAATTTCGGGCCAGCTGCTTGGATACAGTACTCTAAATGCGGTCTTACATAGGTGGGATATAAAATTCGAAACGTTTCCTCGTCAAAAGATTTGAACGCTCGGTGAAGTGACCATAACGCACAAAAACCTGGGACCGGCTGCGCTGCAATGCGTAGTTGTTTTTATGTCATGACTTATTATTACTCCTAAGTCTTTATGCTCATGAATGCATGGAAGAGGTTTACCATCATTAGTATCATGGTAACTATTACCGTGACCTATGTGCATTAGCACACTCTTCCTAGCATTGATTTCTAAGCCACAACCTTGAGCCCATGTAACTAAATCGTCTAAGTCAGGTTGAAGATTTGGATGATCAGCCTCACTTTTTATTGTTCTCCAGATTTTTAAGTCATCCTCAAACAATAATGACGACTTAAGCAACAGCGGTAACTCATCAATTTAGAGAAGGAAGAGCGTCCCATTGGCCCTCACTCTCTGTTTGCGGTCAAATAAGAAGTATCCTATCCACTCCTGTACAGTACCTATCATTCCGAAGCTCGTGAGCTTCTGCATAAGACCTAAGTGTGAAACCTTGTCAAATGCTTTGCCAAAATCTATGAATATCACGTCGACAGATGGGCCTTTACCTAAGGCTGCTGTCCTATCCTCTCTCGCAATAAGTAAGTTAGTCAAGCATGAACGCTTGTTACGAAATCCATGTTGCTCAGGAGCTAACAGGTAGTGTGAATCTATGTGGCTTAGCAGCCTAACACGAATCATCTTTTCAAGTAACTTAACAACATTGCTACTTGGACTGACAGGCCGGTAGTTAGATACGATCTGTCTCTGACCATCCTTAAATACAGGACTGACTATAGCGTCTTTCCAAACTCTAGGGAGTTGAGCGAGTGAAAGGGACATGTTGAAGAGTGTCGCGAGCTGTTTTGAAATAATGTCCGCAAGAGATGACAGCAGCCGTGGATGTAAACCGTCAGGGTCCGGTATCTTACAAGGTTTGAGGTTAGTTATCAACGGAAGGACAGTTTGCGCAGTCACCTGTACAGATTCAATAGCTGATATCTCGATGTGAGTGGGAACATTACGTGTTGCAATAAACGTAGAGTAGAATTAGCTAAAATAGTTTCAAAATTATCAGCTTTTGCCCGATCTGATTCAGCTAGTAAATCTGAATTTTCTTGTAACAGTAACGGAAGGCATCAAAGAAACATTGACTTCAACGTGTCAAGAGGTTCTGGGCCTAAAAAACACCATCATAAGGAATGAATTTCTATAGAAACACTGCACAAAATCAAAGAAAGGAAGAACAAGCAGACAGCAATTAACAACAACCAAACACGAGCAGAGAAAGTCTAAGCACAAGCTGAATACATAGAAGCAAACAAACAAGTGAAGAGGAGCATTAGAGCCGACAAGAAAAAATACGTGGAAGAACTAGCAACGGCGGCAGAAAAAGCTGCTAGAGAAGGAAATATGAAACAGCTTTACGATACAACGAAGAAACTAACAGGGAAATATAGTAAACCAGAGAGGCCGGTCAAAGACAAAGAAGGCAGGCCAATCACTGAAATTCAACAACAGCGGAACAGGTGAGTAGAATACTTCGAGGAACTCCTGAATAGGCCGGTTCCAATGAATCCACCGGACATCGAAACAGCACACACAAATCTTCCTATAGATATCAATCCACTAACAATGGAAGAAATCAGAATGGCCATCAGACAAATCAAGAACGGGAAAGCAGCACGGCCCGACAACATACCAGCTGAAGCACTGAAGTCAGACATCGAAGTAACTACAAACATGCTTCACCTTCTATTCAAAAAGATTTGGGAGGAGGAACACATGCCAATCGACTGGAAAGAAGGACACCTCATCAAGATTCCAAAGAAAGGAGATCTGAGCAAATGTGAAAACTACAGAGGTATTACACTATTGTCAATACCAGGGAAAGTCTCCAACAGAGTGTTGCTGAACCGGATGAAGGATGCAGTATACGCTCAACTTAGAGATCAACGAGCTGGATTCCGTAAGGATCGGTCGTGCACGGACCCAATTGCGACACTACGGATCATTCTCGAACAATCAGTTGAGTGGAACTCGTCACTGTACATCAACTTCATTTATTATGAAAAGGCGTTTCACAGTTTAGATAAAACATTATGGAAACATCTTTGACACTACGGAGTTCCTGAGAAGATTGTCAATATTATCCGGGACTCACACGACGGATTACAGTGCAAGGTCGGGCATGGAGGACAGCTGACAGACGCATTCCAAGTAAGGACCAGGGTCAGACAAGGCTGTCTACTCTCTCCCTTCCTCTTTCTTTTGGTGGTCGACTGGATTATGAAGACCTCGACATCTGAGGGAAAACACGGCATACAATGGACAGCTCAGAACCAATTAGACGATTTGGACTTCGCAGATGACCTGGCCCTCCTATCGCGTACACACGAACAGTTGCAGATAAAGGCAGCCAGTGCAGCAGCAGTCTCAGCATCAGTATGGAACTCAAAACAACTCTCAACCAATATCAAAGTCAGAATCTTCAATATGAACGTCAAGGTAATTCTACTGTATGGAGCTGAAACTCGGAGAACTACAACAACCATCATCAAGAAAGTACAAGTATTTATAAATAGCTGTCTACGCAAGATACTCAACACCCATTGGCCGGATACAATCAGCAACAGCCTTTTATGGGAGAGAACAAACCAGATTCCAGCTGAAGAAGAAATTAGGAAAAGACGATGGAAATGGATAGGAAATACACTACGCAAATCTTCAAACTGCATCACGAGGCAAGCCCCAACTTGGAATCCTGAAGGGAAGCGGAAAAGAGGAAGGCCAAATAACACATTACGTCGGATAATAGAAGCAGATATGAAAAGGATGAATTACAACTGGAAGGAGCTGGAAAGGATTGCCCAGGACAGGGTTGGATGGCGAATGCTGGTGAGCGGCCTATGTTCCTCCACGAGGAGTAGCAGGTGTAAGTAAGTAAGCAGGTAACGGTGTAATACCATCACTACGTTTTATTCGCCGTTCAACATACGAAAACAAACGTTTCGGACAGGTGCGGCTATCATATACCAACTTTCGATCGTAAGTAGTACAAGATTTAGCTATGGTTTCTTACAAATATTCCGGAATTTTTGGTACTCACACTTCAGTGATGCCTGACCTTTCAACAAGAATAAGTCCCAGAAGTGTTTCCTAAGCTTTTACAGCTTCCAAGCTTCCTTATTAATCCATGTAGGGCAATGTGATAGCTTACACGCTGATCATGGGATAAACAGCGATGTAACGGACACGAATGTAGCCTTAAACTTATTCCATTCGTTTTCGATCAATCCATCCGCGTCGACCGACCTTCAGAGTTATCTGGTAAGATACTACGAATATAATCTCCCAGCTTGTCTAAATCATGCGCGAGTCTAATTTTGGGATCAGGGTCGTTTGACTTCAGCCATACGCTCACAATAATTTTCGATGACATTAAATTCTTCTTCTCAGTCACGCCAGGGCGGGTTTCGCTCTTGCTGTCATATTTTGGTAGTGCATTTTGTGACTCACAATGGGAGTCCGCCAGTGACTTGCCAACCACCTGCGTACTGCCTACAACTTTTTTATTTTCGTTTTCTCCGTAGTGTAGTTCATTTACCATCCCTCAGGACACTGGGACTATTTGCAGCGGTGACGGTCTTATCCCGATCTTCAGTTTCTACTAGTTACATGGTTACCTATGTCAGTGTCAGGTAGTACTACCCTCTCAGTAATGTTAACAGAGATTTCACTTTTTCGTCAGTCAAAGTCGTTTGTTTAAGGCGTCTCGTAACAGCAGGTACTACACTGACACATTGGTCACTGTCAGTGCTAGTGTTATCAGCGTTTTCTGTTTCATGAACATAGATATTTGTTTGGAGGAATTAGTACTGAGCTGCTACAAGAAACAATATTACCTGGAATAAAACCTCACCATATTCCGTTCATAACTATTTAAGGCTTAGACACGAAAGCACGAAACGGATTGGGAATTGAAATGAAGAGCAATCGGCAAATGTTTGCGTTACCTTGACTGGGAGATTTCTATGCATTTCTATGGCTAAACACAATAAGGATGAGTGTTAGTAAAAGGAAGTTCACACAACACATCATACCCAACCCTCAAACCTCTAAATACAAAGATGGTTCGTCAGTGGGAAATAATGAGCTCGCTGAGCAGATGGTTTGAACTTATGTTATTATTAAACTGATTTATTTTAGTGGTGTTCATCTATTTCTATGCCGATTGACTACGAGGAATATGTTACAAAAAATAAGGCACTCATTGTTAATGACCCATACCGGGAAACTGTACTTTTTCCTCAAGACGATTTGAAGGTGATTTTTTATGAATATTTATAACTATTTTGCGTTGCTTGGAGCTCACTTTTTTGGTAATAAATGTATAAAATGGTAAAATCTCATCACTTAATATTTGTCATTGGTTAGGACAGTCGGACACCACTTTGTAGACACTTATTCAGTCCCAAAATTTTTAACTACTGAGTTGATAATGGCTGATTTCTCCATACATCTAGTTTACTGACACACAGCTACTTGTCTATTTAAAATGAACAATCCTCACAGTCCTCACAATTCTAAACCCGGGATATTTGTGATAAGCTTGAATTGAATTGGTGTTCACTTGTCTAATATGTATGCCGTAAATATCTGTTTTTGCTCTTCAATACGAACTCCTAATTATTTGCAAACCAGTGAAGCAATGCATGATAAATGTTTAATGTGACTTTGAAGTATTTTGACAGGAACAGGGAAGTACCAATCTCTTTGGGGTTTGTGTTTCATGTGATTAAGTATATGAAGTTCGATATTTCTCTCGGAACTCAGCTTCTTTTGATAGCTCTCAAAATCTCTTCATAGCATCACTAAGAAATGTAAGCGTTTATAATTTGTCTTTAGAAGTAGCTCTATGTGTGTCAGTCACAGGGTATGACCTTTCATTCTATGTGTTGCATATTTTCCTACTGTTGTAATAGTTTGGGTTATATGAAAGACTGGGAAGTGACAGTCATGATAATCGTAAAGTCTGGTATAAATATACATCAGCTCAGACCGCTAAACCATACATTATAGGTGTACCATGTGAATCTAGAAAGTCTAGTTATTTAAAAGCTGTCTACTAGCACATTACATAATCGTGATAATCGGTTGTATGTATTCCTTTTACCCATTAGTACTGTTGATATTTATCAAACTTTCAAACATGCTAGTCCGTTCGTTTCATATGGCTTTATGTATTCGTGTAGGTCGTGCTTGTATCTCTCGTTTGTTGCCTGTCCAACCAAAAAATTAGGTTTGTAAGCAAACTGGTGTACCATCCATAATGTCTCGCTAGATTTGTGTATATTGATCTACCCATGTATTTCAGGTGGTCAGAATTCCTCATATTCATCGAACGTTGAGCAATGTTGTCCCTGAGGCTGCACTTAAACATGATTTATTTACTTCAAATTCATTGGCACGCCATGCAGTATCGTTTTTTGCTACAACTGAATGGAGCTATATTCAACAAACATCTTCCATTTATTGCGGGAATTTTCTCTCGCTTCCATTTAAGAAGTGAGGTCCTCCGTTTTGAATTTTCACGTTGTTTTTGTAAATGTAAGATTAATGTATAGTTCATTTTAGTCGTCAGCATTTTTATTGACTTATGTTTAGTTTATACAATAGTAACAAAGCACCTTCGTAAACGAAGGAATTCGCACTGTTATCTGATAATATTTGAGAGTGGATTTAAAACTATATTTGTGTAGAACTTACTAAATAATCTTGTACACTTTACTAAAAGAAATTAGTTTGGTTAATTACAAATGAATTACTCAATTTTATTGGGGAAATGTCCAAGTTGTTTATTAAAATTCACTAATTGTGGTATGTCTTCTGATATTTTACTTATTTAGTCAAGTGGTTTATGGATCGGAATAATATAAACTCACTCATGGTTAATTACTTGACCTTATGTCATTCTGGCTGAAGTTTGTAAATGTAGTTGGGAATTCGTCAGCTATCGATTGTGTGAAAACACGAATACAATTGGTGGACTTTATTGTTAGTTGTGTTAAAGACCACATTTTGACCTGTCAAATTCACCTGATCGAGTGATTAATTTTACCACCATGAAAGTCTAGATTGCAACTTACAGACCTTGGAATAGAAGTATAGCTTGTAAATCAACTGAGTAATTCTGAAGTTGGGCGTAGTGGTACTGAGTAAATATAACTATTCAGTTGGTGAAGTGGTGACTTTTCATCCTCTGAGGTGGTTAGGACGTTTTACTTATACCCAACCATCACTTATCTCGAAACAATGGTGGAAAGAGTGAGGATACGTCTTAATAAAACTAAGAGTAGTCACACCGATACATGGCACTAGACCAAAAAATAACTGAGTGTTGGTCTGGTAGATGCAAACCCCATTATTAAGGATTATGAGACCATCACGGCCAGTTATTCTAAGTGTTGAGTTACATGTCTCAAATTGGTTTCAGTAGTGCAGGTTTATTCCTTCTTTGTTTATCCTTAAATCCTCAGTTTTTAATTTATTGCATATTTAACTCCTATAAATTCGTGCTCAAACCATATGCTGTGTTTCGAATTTCTTCTGCCATCACTAATGGGACTGCTTCTACTCTTACTAATTTCGTATGCATACTATTCTTTGAAATGGATAGTGTTTTGCACTCAGAACAAGCTTTGACATTCTCTTTCGTTAGTTTTCAGTTGTCTTATTCAGTCTTTTGATCTATGACAAAACATTTCTAACGTTTCGTAGTCAATCAGTTTGAAATATTTATGTCCAATATATATTCGATGTTATTAAATTTTGATGAACATGTCTTTATCATACAACCGAACTGTTTTGATTACAGTGATATCGATGATTTGGGCGGAAAATTATCCCAATATTGGTTCTCAATTGATCAGTCATTATCCAATAAAGACAGTCCCAATCATGTTTCAGATTCCGATCATCTATCAACTAACATTGGCTCAAAAATAAGAACAGCTACAGGATTTCAAGTTCGTAGTCGTCGGTCAGCCACAAGTGGTCTTATGAGAACTGGTCAAAGTGTTTGTGAAACAGCTACTTCTAGTTCAGATAATCGATTTGCAGGAAGTTTTCAACCTAAAGATCATTTGAAATTGGAAAGAATCAACTCAGATACCAGTTTAATAAAACGTGGCAGTAAATCAAAGGATATAGAAGAGACTGATGAAAAATCAATCAATGATATTACTACAAATTTGAGTCTTAGTGGGAAACAGTTTGAAAATGGAAAGTTTTCAGTAAGTGTATTATTTAACCTCTCTCTCTCCCTCTCGAAACTACCTATCAATCTTTTTTGAAATTATTCTGTATCGTTGTTATTTATGTTAAGTGTCCTTTTGATTATCAACAGTTTGTTGAATTTTTGAACGAATGATCTAATATATTGTTTCGTTTAAAATGAGTGATCAAAGTCGTTGTATTTGTATTTTATCTTTCTCATATTTGTCAGTAAGTTATATCTACAATGATTCCTGAAAATGTATAGTTTAGATTCAAATAAGTTTGATGTTCTGGTGTCATAGATTCATGTACTAGACCTAGCTGTGATACTATTGAGTTATCTAAAACTTCTAAACATTCTTGTGTTTAAAGTTGAGTATCCATCATATAGCGGCGTAATTCATTTGCACAAAAATTCAGCTTGTAAGTAAGGAATTATAAAACTCAATACACTGCTCTTATAATGATTGAATCAGACTAACAGTATTGTTATTTCATAAGCTCATAGATGATAATGTATACTACGTTGGAAATATAACGTTTGTTGTTCAATTACTTCGATTCTATTTGCACAATTATTTTTAATGCAGGAACTTGTCAATCTGTAAACGGTAACCGATTTCGTGATTTCTAATCCAAAGAATTAAATCATCTTAGGAAATGACCATTGTGACACACTACGGTATGTCATAAAATTCGACTAGAAAAGTGGATAGGAGCGGGAACTTCAAGACATATTACCACCGATTTTGACCTGTAAGAGATAGTTGAAGTAGACGTGTTTGTAATTAGTTTTGGTACTATTTGCATTTTTCATCACTTCTTACAATTACTGTTATCGCCTGTAAAATTGTTGTTTAGAATGCATAACCTTTGACCTTCCATCCTGATTTGTAAACAAACATAGAATGAACCATTGGCCATCGCTCACAAATACTCTGCTGCACACATGGGCTGTGTCTAGTTTCTGGACAGATCAGTCTGTCCATTCTTTAACCACATTTTAGCCTTGTCACTTATTGGTTTATTTATTCTGACTGTTTTCAGATGAGCGTATATGTGTTGACTGCTTATCCCATTCACCATATGCTTGTAACTTGTTTTTGGTCCGACTATATAAATATTGAGTAACGCTTGATTAAATTGAGTTGGCTCACATGACTCTTTCCACCCTCGACCGTATTAGGGTATTTGAAGGCTAATAATAGGAACAAATATTACAACTTAAATTGATATACATTTTCATCAAACCATACATTATTATTTTCTTTGTCTTCTATATGTATATTATGCATGACAATGTTAACAAATTATCAGTTTATGGGTTGTGGAGATTGTTAAGATTTTTGATCGAGATCATAAACCGATTGGTGTTGAGGTTGATGTTAGACATTAACACCATTGGATGCCGGCTCAATGGTCCAGTAGGTTAAGCATTCGCGTGCGAGACCGAAGACCCTGAGTTCGAATCCCGCCAGCGGGATCATAGATGCTCATTGATGAGGAGTCTCACAAGGGGACGAAACGGCCATCCAGTGCTTCCAGTTTTTCAATGGTGGTCTAACATCAATCGGTTCATGATCTCAATCAAAAAACTTAACAAATTATCATTGAACTTATTGAAAGATGGATCTATTAATTTTCGCTTATTTTATTTTTTTTAAATTTTTATTATTTGATAGTCTACTTATTTAGAATGTCAACTTATGTTATGTAATCGTGAAAAATATCAAGATTATATTCGTATTCTAGAAGGTTTACTTTCTTCTGGTATAAATAAAAATGTTAATAAAACAAAATCATTATTTAAAAATTATATAACAAACTATTATTGTTTAAGACAAATACAAATTGAAGAGCTATGTGATAATGATCGACAAAAAACTTCATTAGAATCTATTGGAATAATTCGAAATTTATTCGTTGGTCTACATGTTATAGCACCTTGTGATTGGCGTGCATCAAAAGTGTATTCATCATCTTATGAAAATGAAAATATTATATATTTAGGTAAATTTTATTATTATTATTATTATTATTATTATTATTATTATTATTATTTCAATAGTTGAGATCATGAGTCACTTGAAGCTAGATCACCATAGAACACCTGAAAGCATTGAACGGTTGTTTCATCCTATTGTGGGACTGCTCAGCAGTGCACATTTACAATCCTGCTTCTCAAGATTCGAACCAAGGACCTATCAGTTTCGCGCGCGAATGCTTAAACTTGTGACCATTGAACCGGCCAGTATCCAAATGGTATTAATGTCTAACTTCAACTAATCCACGAAATTGAGCGATACATCCACCATTGTCATCAGTGAGTTAATATCTCACAACTGATTCGGTTGAACTCGATTGGTCACTGTTTCTCACTAGAACTCCAGGATGTACACGTTGAAGCTAGTCACTAATAAGCATATGTTGATTAGTATCAGAAGGGGTTTTATGGCTATTGTATTAATTTCAATAGTTGAGATCATGAGTCAATTGAATCTAAACCACCATAGAAAACCTGGAAGCACTGGACGGTTGACCGTTTCGTCCTATTGTGGAACTCCTCAGCAGTGCGCGTCCACGACTGCACCTTGTGGAATTCGAACCCAGGACCTATTATTATGAGTAATATTGTATAAATAAGCCCAATAGCTTAGTGGATGCCCGGTTAGAGTCTCAACGTAAACATTAGCATTAGGTTGGAAGTATATCCGACTGAAGAGTCCCAAATAGGACGAAATGTTCGTTCAAATTTCACTGTTGATTGTTATCCAACTTTAGCAAATACTTGTGATTACATGACACCATTGAGGCAGTTGGCTCAGGATACTTCGGGAATTGTCTTGGTAATGTCATGTTGTTGTATTAAGTTGATATGGCAGTTTGAGTTAATGTACTTACTTACCGATTTTCATCTTGCTGATTACTGACTGGTGCAGATTGAGACTGATCAATTCATCTTTAACATCAAAAACGGAATAGTACAAATTATTAGCGGTAGTTTCTCTGTCAGAAGAAAATCTATGGATATAAATTCACTCGCAACGATTGATAATACTTTACTAATTTCTGAGTGTTTTGTAGGTCTGAAAGAAACCTCTATATATGTATGTGTTTATATGTGAGAAGTGGTAGAGCTGTACGCGTATATGTTGGACATTAGTGATAATTCTCATAAATCTTTTTGATCTATAATATTTCCCCAACTCTAATTTTATACTCTGACCATATATGTTCGTACATTAGGCCATGAGCTATACGAAGGGGTAATGAGGCTAACTAACTATCTACCTAAATTAAAATAAGTAGAGTGAATCATATTTGTTTTTATAGTTGAAAGCTTAGTGATTTTCAGTACTAAACTACTAAACATTTCATTTAATCTAGTCTGGCTCAATTTGTTTTACGTTACGAAGATGATCTTCCTAAGTTGTGTGTCACAATCATTAGGGGTGAGAGTTTTTTTTGGAAATATGATTGCCTTTGTAATGACATCGGTGTATTATGTAAATACATTTCAGATGTATGTCTTGTCTTCATCATTTCACTACAGATACAATTGAATCAGCACGTTCAATTGGTGATTATTGGATTCGTTTAGAAAGATTATTGCCATCTTCATCATCATCATTGTCACCGATGCCATCGTCTTCACCGACATTAAATTCTATCCAACCATCATCTATTAAACAATCCAATGAATTATCAACACCCAATAGTTCACTATTAAATGATGAAATATTTATTTATTTCGACCCTGGAATGAGTGATGCATTGGAGAAACGACAACTATGGTTGAATGCAATAGAGTTAGCTATAAAATTGGAACATCATAGACGACGTATAGGTTATCATCATCAATCAAATACACATTTTCACGAGAATTCAGACTCCACTGGAAGTAATAAACTAGATTTATTTAACAAATCCAACGATACAGATTCAGTACGCAGTGCCTTACAACGGGTAGGTTGGTTTTCATCCTGAGCATATAACCTCGATGTAGACTTTTACTTACAAGTTTTAATGTAGCAGTAGAATTCTGCATGCATGTTTCATCTTATTACAAACCCTTACCACTATATGCATACCCATTGAGCAAGTATGTAGTAGCTTAATGGATAATGCTTTGACGTATAAGACGATGAACACTTGACTAGAGTCAGATTGTGAACATCAATACTGGAGTAGAGGTAAATCCGATTGACAATTGTCAAATAGGACTTAATGCACGTACTAGACTGCACTGATAAGTACAGTCCAAATATTCTAAGACTTTTATAGGAATTCATCACTACACGAGCCTCGTTTTCTAGTGGATGATACAATAGGTGACAAATCAACATCTTCCTTTTATCAGCCAATCAAATTTCGGAGCAGAGATGGATGGTGTTTATTTATTTAAACACATGGAAATTGGTGCAAGGAAGCACGAAATATATATATACGCCACACTTCGTCATTCGATTTGTGTAAAGGCTGGTATACTGCTCAGGTACCCAGACCGAAGCAAGTGGTTTTATTAGGGGGCCACTCCTCGAGCCTTTAACCTACAGGTTTAATCTACAAGGCAGTGGAGCAACGTCAAGAGATGCAGTCCCATGGTAGCCGGTGACCAACAATTGGTTCATACGCCATTTGTTTCCTCAGGATCCTGTAGTCAGCCCATGTGCACCATTGGTTTTAAATAAGTGGTTTCCAACCCACCGAGTTGGATTCTCCATATCTACCAACCCGGTTGAAGCACCGGGCATTTGTTTTTCATGTTGTCAATCTCTTAGACAACACCCGTGGTGCGAAAATGCAGTGAGTAGGACTTCTGTGGTAGTAATTGTGGCTATTTGAGAGTATTTGGAGGGGGAGAGTTGACTCTCCGCCTATACTCAAATGATCAGAATGCAGATGTACACATGATTTTGATGTATATTGTTCACAAATCTGGCTTTCGACTACTACTAGACTGAAAGTTTGAATCCTACAACACTTTAGTTAGGACAACGAGACACTATCTCAAGCCATCATATTTAAAATGTAACTTAAAGCTAAGTACACGTACTTATCATTAGTTAAAAGGTGAAATTATTGAAATCAATGGTTAACTTTTATTATATGCTTAAGTTGTAAAACAACTGATATTCTATTTACTAAAATATTTCAAGTAAACAGTTCCAATCGCCAATCCACATAGTTATCAGTAGTAGTATTAGTCACTGTAACTAAACTTTCGAATGGATGTTTGCGGTTAAACTGTTTTTAACGTGAATTCTGGCCAGCGGTATTTTGCTGGTGTGATATTCCACAAGAGATAGTACATCCATTCTAGTTACTAGTGTTCAATATTCACGAGCAATAGCTTTAATGTATGGAGCCTTATCAGTATTCTAGCAGTTGTCACAGTTTCAAGTTGAAATCGTTACCTATTCAATATTGGATTAATGTAGCAATCATTGTATGATGTAAAGTATTTCCAAGTTCGATAACCTACGCTTAGCACCTCAGCATAGTGGACGAGGACTCGAGTTATCACAGAGTATCACCTCTCTCAAGATTACAAAGTATATCATATCAACGAGTACTAACTAGTATGAAACTTAAGTCGAGGATGGTTTCTTGCCTGGCTATCACCAACTAACTGACTACCAAATAATTTTACAACTTCATAATCCAATTCTTTTCTATGTAACTGAAACCAACATGCACACAATGCCTTCGAAGCAAATTTACTACTGATCGAAAAAGTGTGTTTGATTATGATTAACTTTTGAAGAATTCATTTCTTCCATAAACGTATTATATACGATTTATTTTGTTTTGTTTTTCTTTGAACATATTTTCTTCTTACTTGTAAACTCTCTTTGTAAAACAAGTATGCTCAAGAAACCGAATTATTTGTAATACGTCAACGTCAAAAAGATCGAATCAAATTAATCACATTGTTCCCAGAAGTTCGAGTAAGTTTACTCATATGGTTTTTGTTATAACTTGTGGGTTTTTTTCCTCTATCAATGATACCGCCAATCAGAGAACAGTGAATTATCGACCAGACCAATGACGCATAAAACAAGTACGAGCACTCTAGAGTACTTATCGGTCTTGCTTCCCGCCTAATCCCTGGTTGTTAAGTCTAGAACACCAATCTCAGTTTCTGTGATATGAAGCCTGTAATTCAAACGGATTGGGTTTATATATACCAACCAAACAGACCACATCGTACCATAAAATAGAAAATACACATTCATACGAGGTTTAGCCAAACGTGGCTGTGAATGTGGGAGATAGTCATTGATAGACAGAGCATAACTCAAGAATGGTAAATTGTATAATAATAGTTCATAGGTGAAAACAAAGCTTATAATAAGAGGAACATGAATATAAATAGTTTAATTACTTAACAATTATACAATAGTATTAATCTATAAATGGATCCCAAAAGTTACCATTCATTATTCTCATCGGGATATAACAGTTTGGTTTTTCTTACTCATCAGTTGTTGTGTTATGTAATTCGACTCAAATTTTGCTATGTGTTCTTTGTGGTGATATAAAGAACTATTATTACTTATAATTCCTAGTAAAGGTTTGGACTGTTAATATTCATGAGACTGATGTTTGATCGATCTTTAGTAGCACTGTTAACATTTGTTTCTTTTGCATTTCAAGACTAAATTACATAAAAGTCATTCATATTCATTTGATCACTCAAAAAATAGTTCACTTTTAATTGATGTTGCTAAACTTTTAACTTGTTGATTAGTAACCAGTGTCATAGCCATATTCTGTCTGTCACTTTGTATTTGTTACATTGGTTATTTTACTGATTCAACGTCACTGCTCATCTTGTTAAGATATTGGATAGTGAGAGCCAGTAGTTAATAAGTTGTCAATGTTGATTTTGTGCTAGTTGTGTAGTGTGTGCTACTTATGTCGATAGATATAAGTAGTATATAGCATCAATTGAAAGTGGAATGCCTGGCAGTAGAAGGTTGAGAAGATCGAATAGAAGGGAACGGGAACAGAGAATGATCGTTATGGAAATGAAAGAACAATAAAGTCTGAGACAATTGATGAACATTTTGCAAATGAACTACCGAATGTACGGTGTTCATATTTTACCAAATAACTCTGTAATTCTGTGATAATACATATTTTCTCGTCCCTAAATATGTTTTTGTTCGTTGCAGTTAACGGTCATTGGTAAGGTTTATTCGAAATTGATGCCTCAGGTTGGATTTGGACCAATGTCTTGCGTTGATATTGTAAAAAGTTTAATAGCTGAACAATTTGTGCCTTGATTGACCAATTAAGCAGTTACTAAATATTAACCGATATCATGTTATGTAGTCTTTAATAGTTATCAAGGTTTATGAATGAAATGACTCAATGATTTGACTGAAGTTTCCAGTAGGTTACTAAGTCTACTGGACTTACTACCTCTTTCACCCAATCACATGCTAAATTGTATCACTAACTAACTTTTCGATTGTCTTCTAAATTTTTGATAATAATGGTCATAAATTCCTTAAAACTTTCTAGCCTTTCATAGCATTTGTTTTGGTAAACATATAGGAATGCGCTTAAAATGACTTCAACTCTTAGTCAGGCAGAAAATAGCTAATATAACTGAGTTCATAATTAGATGTTGTTATGGGGTTAAAATCAGAGTTTGGGTTAGGATTAAGGATCTAACTATATGGTTTCTTTGGGTATTATCTACATTATCTTCACAGAAAGAGTTCAGTATCTAGTACCTTTGACATTACCATCTTCACTTCGTAATGACTATACAAAAACTCAAGACCTATCTCCGATATTTTGATTGGTTTGTTACTATCCTTTACTTTCACCCTGTATTTATACTTGAAAGTACAAATACACATAATAAGTCACATTCTTATTGAATGATTTAATCATTTAACTTTCAATTCATTTACATGTCAAATAGTTTTTATTTATTGAATAGTTAAACAATTTAGACTAAAACTAATGACCTAATTCAATATATTACTGCATTTGTCAAATTCACTAAGTGATTTGTTCTAATTGTCATTGATATGGATAGTTTTAGAGATTATAAAGTGTATAGATGAGAAGGAAGGTGATAAAGTTAAATATACACAGTATTATCAAAAATATCACTTTACTATTTATAGTCAAACTATTTAGAATGAAGTGTACCTTATTTTATGATTGCGTTTCTTATGTGTTAAACATCAGTCAGTCAGTCAGTCAGTCAATCAACAACGTAGAACTTTGTACGTACGTACAACAGTTCGAGTTGCCATGCTACATTAGCACAGAGATACAATTATAGATTCAAATCTCATAGTGGTAGAGGTAGTGAAAGTACAAACAGTAATCGGAAAGATTAGGATTCGAAGATGTTATTCAAGGAGTATAATCCAGTGAAATAAATTTGCAGAGAGAAAAAAAAGAAAGGGAGATGAAGAATTCAGAAGATTAGGATTTGGGAGAACACAAAGAGTGTATGCACATGCTCACACCATTTCAAACGATTTTGAGCCATGTCAATCAAGGTCTCTAACCATCGATTCTTATCGTCTCGCAGATCCCAACCAGGTAGTCTACACCTACTAACATGACTCAGTTCAGTTGTCAGTAGTGACTTCATGGATTTGTGCCATGTTTTGATCTGGAGGTACTGATTACCCTTAGAAGAGACCTTGTGGCTGTTTTACCTCACTACATCCTCTAGTATGATTTCTTACGTAAACGTTAAACTGAAAAATTTACTGCTTTAATCTTAATTACACTTCCATAGATCGATCTAATATCAAATGATTCCACGGGAAACTTGGAATCCAAATTTTATATCAGTTGGCTCTCATTCATAAGAAGTAAAAGTAATCTTGTGCAAGTGATGTTGAGTCACTTAAATTAGTAGCCATATTATAATTCGATCAGGGTTAAGTATTAGACAAATATGATATTGGTCATTATTCAGTAATCAGTTAGTATGCCCCTAAATGCCCTTGTACGGCCGAGAGTAGGGAGAGTCAGCTCTCCCTCTCCGAATCCTCTCACATGCCCACGTGCACAAAACCACTGCAAGGGAAGTCCTACTCAATGCCTTCTCGCGGCACTACTGTTGTTTACGAAATTGAGAGGATAAAAAGCGAATGTCCGGCGCTTTAACCGTGTTGGTGGACGTGGAGAGTCTACCTAGGGGAGTTGGAAATCTCTGATTCCAAACCAATGGTGCACATAGGCTGGCTCCGGGATTCTAAGAAGACAAATGGCGCATGAACTCATCGTTGGTCACCGGTTACCATGGGACTGCATCTCCTGACGTTGTTCCACTGCGTTTTGGACTAGACCTTTAGGTTTTAGGCTTCGATTCGGACACCCGTGCTGTATTGTAGCCCTCATACAAATCGAATGATTTTTGTGGCGCATATCTCACTTTAATACTTTCATTATTTTTTTTGCTTTATCTTATCAAAATTAGATAAATCAACATAAAATTAAAATGTCCTACTCACCACATGAAAATAATAATGTAATAGTTAGCAATTTGAAAGATTCACCATTTTCACCATTTCCTGAACGTACAATTGAATTATGTAATCGACGATATTTAGCTACATGTTTATGTTTACATTCAAAAATTCAAGCTAATTTGGAAATTTCAGGGAATTCATTATCTTCCCATTTAGAGAATGTAAGTTTTTTTTGTTCTATTGTTCCTATCTACGTGTTAATACATTTTTTATACAAGTATATTTACCATTGAGTTCATGAGCCAATTAAAGTTAAACCATCATAGAAAATATGGAAGCACTGAACGGCCGTTTCGTTTTGGTATGGGACTCGTCAGCAGTGCGCACCCACAATCCCGCACGTGTGATTCGGACCTAGAACCTGTTGGTCTCACGCGCCATGATCAGTGGAGTTCAGTCAAGTCTGTTGTAAGATAGTAACTCATTGAAGACAATAGTGGACGGTTGTGCAATTTCATGAATTAGTTGAAGTTAGACATTAACACAATTGGATGCCAGCTCAGTGGTTTAGAGGTGAAGTGTTCGTGCGCGAGACCGATAGGTCCTGTGTTCGAGTGTGGCTTGCGGGATTCTGGATGCGTACTGCTGAGGAGTTCTATACTAGGACGAAACAGCCGTCCAGTGCTTCCAGGTTTTCCATGATAGTCTACTTTTAATTGACTCATGAACTCAATGATAAAATTACTAAAATCTCCACAAAACCCCCTTCTGAAAATATATTTACATTTGTTTGTTATAAATATGATGTGTACATCATTTCAAGTTGCTATATCCCATTATCATATCTAGATGAAATTGTTAGGGTATGAATCCTAGAGTAGTAGAGGTACTACTAGAAAAGATTACACATCGAAGGTACAATTCATTAAAATATAAATTAGTGAAATAATACAAAGTTATAAGAAATTCAGAATCTTAGGATCTGAGTGAAAACAAAAGGTGAATGCAGCTGAGTTGTTACGACTTAGTTTTCTTGTGGTTTTGTAACTGTTTCGAATTAAATTACATTGTAATTTTGACATGACAAAGAGTTCTAACAGTTGGAGTTTTATTCATTGACATGGAGAAGATTAAGTGATCTATCAAAATTGATCTTATTCGATAGTTTATAACATTTAATCACGCGTTACATCCGAACGAAACGGGATTGTTGTTCCACTTATCTATTTGTTTCAATGTAGGGAGAGAGAGAGAGAGAGAGGGAAAAATGAATCACTGATGTGTTTATGTACTTACAATAGCTTTTTGTTGATACTTTTAGCCAGAACCATATTTTGTTACCATTTTTCTTGTGGATGTCAATGATGGACGTCGTGTTAGTGAAGATTTCTATTGGAATCCTAATTCATCAATTATTGATTCTATGTTACCAACAGATCAATTCAAAAGTTTACCATGGTATTCATCTAATAATCAATATTCTGAAACAACTAATGATAATCATCATCATCATCATCATTCAATATCTAATCAACCAAATATTATTTCATCACCTAATCGAATAACACGTAGACATGCACCACCACCACCACCACCAAATAATAATCTTATGTCTCCATATGGAACACAAAGTTCTATTTCATTAGATTGTTTGTATAAGTGTCGTACAGTGAGTTATTATGTTCCATTGTTTTTTTATTTCTTTTGCTTAATTGTTTTACTTACCATTGACATTAGAATTATTGATCAATGTATACTTTATCTTTAATGTTCATAGTAATGCTATGTGGTTTCAATGATCAGTTATATATATTTACTCAAAACAAAAGGTTGATCGATTGACATTTTCTGATTGTAATTTACTTAAATGAATAGGAGATCATTTTTGGTTGTTAGTTTAATTGTACTATTGCAATGGTATAACTTTGAATCAACCTGATTTCATTGTTCAGTTAGGAATTATCTTTAAATCCCTTAACTTTAATCTGTAGGTTTTGTATGTATGTATCAAGTACATATTTATGCACTCATCTTTTAGTTGCACTATTTTATGTGTTTAGGAAAGGGATTAATAATACCAGTCATCTCAAAACAAAGTAGATGGGCTGATGTTCCAATCTGGGTCTTAATGGTCTCATAGCCATCAGCAACCCTGATAACCTTAGAGTTACGTAGACAACATAAATGTATATACCAGGTGTAGATATATTCCTAAGAGTGTTTTTTTTACTAGAAAGTACTTTTAAAAATGATCAATTTGTGTTTTTTTTTTACTGGTTTTCATATAAGCGATTAATTGGTTTGTATTTCGTAACCGCTGAACACCGATCACCACGACGCGCAATGCTGACTAGTGTTGGGGATGGTTGGAAGAAAGTTAGGGGAGACCAAACCAAAACGTGGCATCAGTCCACGAAGTCACTAACTTCTAGTCTGAGCTATGTTGGTAGATGCGAACTACTTGGTTGGGGTCTGCGTGACTATTGTAACCAATGGTTGGAGACTTGATGAAATGGCTCAGAATCGATCACAATGGTCTAGGTGTATACGCTATTTGTCTTCCCTTAAACTATGGGATATATATCTTTATATCTTTATATCTTTCTTATATATATATATCTTTCTTATATATATATCTTTCTTTATATCTTTCTTTCTACGAACTAATTGTTTCTTCGTGTACTATGTCCTTATGCACAATCTTTCTTTTACATATTACCACCACTGAATTAACTACTTCTATCAATCCGGTGTTCATCTTGTTATGCTAATGAAGTATGGCAATTTGGACTGATGCACATATGTGCCTGGTCCTAAGTTTTAGCTGAATGACTGACTGATTTTGTAACCATTACATAAAGTTGTTCAGATTGGTGCGAATGTACACTAAAAAATTATCTAGAAGTACGATTGTACAACTCTAGGAAATGATATCGTCGATGTTTTTTTTGTCTCTGAAATGTCTTCGTTCTTTTTAATGAATCAATAAGTTTCTTTCGTTAGTTTTTCAAGAATAACATCTTCAAACCCTAATCTTTTCGATTACTGATTATACTTTTACTACCTCTACCACTATGAGATTTGAATCGACAGTTGTATCTGTGTGCTAATATGGTATGGCAACTGGGACTGGTGTACGTTGTTGCTGACTGACTAACCTCGTTTTTTTCAAAAATTCATATATCAACACACGATCAAACTGCTTAACTTTAAGTTGTTTGAAATTATAACGTAATGGTTTGTATGTCTACTGTGTTGTTCTTGATTGGCGTATCTCTATTCGACTGTGCTTTTTGAAACATTACGAATCCTGTTGCTTTATTTTACACATGAACAGTGCCAGATACCCTGGTACGGCCGAGAGTGGGGAGAGTCTGCTCACCCTCTCGAAATGCTCTCACATGGCCACGCGTATATAGTCTCTGCCAGGTAAGTTTTACTCACTGCCTTCTCGTGGCGGAGGTGTTGTTTACGAAAATGAGAGGACGAAAAGCGAGTGTCCGGAGCTTTAACCGGATCCCAAACCAATCGTGCACATGGACTCCAGTATCCTGTAGGAACAAATGGCGTATGAACCAATCGTTGGTCACCGGCTTCCATGAGACTGCATCTCCTCACGATGCTCCACTGCCTTGTGGATTAGACCTTCAGGTCAAAGGCTTGGGGTGTGGCACCCTAAGAAAACCACCTGCTTCGGTTTGGGCACCCGGGCAGTATCCCAGCCCTCACACATATCGAATGATATTTGTGTGGCGCATATGTATTTGGTGTCTCCATGTACCAATACCTATGTGTTAAAATAATAATAATAATTCGATTTTAAACAATTGGGTTACATGTTAGGACTCTATCTGACATTTAATCTAGTTTAAAAAACCGCATCTTATCTGTATGCTCATCATTTAGAGTTGTGATATGACTCTAAGTTTAAAGTAAATATGCATGTTTCACACTTCACAATACTACCTACTGACTTTGAACAAGAATGGAAAACTAAGCCTTATTGAGCACGAGATAGTACATAATTATTGATTTTTTTAGTTTTGTAGTTTACACTATGGATTGACTTTAATTAGCATGTTTTTTTTCTTAATATGGGACTCTTCAGCAGTCACCATTTATGACCACCCCTTCCGTAGACTTTCAGACCTCGCGTCAAATACTCAACAATTATTCCACTGAGTCGATGTACATTATTTTATATTTCTGACTTAATCTTGTGCTCACTGGTGACTAATTTTGAGACGGGATTCTTGGAATTTCAGTGAAAAACCGTGTCTAGTGAAGTCCAACTATATCGTGAGTCAGGTATTTACCTACCAATGACATGGGAAAATAATTGCGTAATGTTGTAAATTGATTGAATTTATAAATGTACGTAACTGGATCCAGACTCACTCGTCTAAAGTTTAATCGCTTTCTGTGAAACCTACAGGTTTTCCATTTGATTCCCGTTGGGATCGTGAATACACTTTGTTCTGAGGATTCTCATACTAGGCTGAAACAGTTGTCCAGTGTTTTCGGGTTTCCATTGGTTGTTTTATCAAGGTTAGACTTTGATGCAAATCCCACGAATCCCTTACAGTAGAAATAAACGTGTTCAGTATGCATAAGTTATATTACATTAGATTAGAAACAGATTATGTTTGTTTGTCTTTAATGCTATGATAATCAATGAACTGATATCATTGATATAAATCTATGGAGAATATTACCATTCATTGTGTATGAATGATTCATGTACAACTGTAAATGGTGTACATCACCTGTACATGTTTAACATTTCTCTCATTACAACGATCATAGTTGTAATCCTTAACCTAATCATTTCCACACCACAAACACACACACACACACACAAACTCAGTAGTCTTAAGCGTATATTCACCGAGGGTATTAATTTGTTTAAGTTTCACAATATGTACAATGAACAGAATTGATATAAAAACTTGTTTGTTGATCACAATACAGTTCAATTTATGTAACATTGATAAGTTTTCTAAATTCAATAAATTACTTAAAGGTAATTTGTTTGTCTATTGATATGATGGGATAAAAAGGTAAGGCAGGGCATCTAAGTAAATATCAGTAGTAGTTTTTTTATTCACATTATGAATACAAATTTTAATGTTGGTGTATGTATAAGATAGGAATTTGGATTTTTACAATTTAATCTATAATGACCATTTCCATACTAGGACAAAACAGCCGTCCAGTGCTTTCACGTTTTCCATGGTGGTCTAACTTTAATTGACTCATGAATTCAATTATTAAATTACTAAAATCTACACAAAACCCCCTTCTAATGATAATCACCATATTCTCACTAGTGACTGGCTTTAAGAGGTATTTCATGGAGTTCTAGTAGGAAACAGTGACCAGTGGAGTTCAACCAGGTCTGTTCTGAGATAGTAACTCACTGAAGACAATGGTGGACAGTGGCGCAATTTCGTGGATTGGTTGAAGTTAGACATTAATACCGTTGGATGCCGTCTCAATGGTCTAGAGGTTAAGTGTTCGCGCTCGAGACAGTTAGGTCGTGGGTTCGGGTGTGGTGTGCAGGATCTTGTATGCGCACTGTTGAAGAGTCCCATACTAGGACGAAACAGCCGTCCAGTGCTTCCAGATTTTTCATGATGGTCTAGTTTTAATTGACTCATGAATTCAACTATCAAATTATTTACGTTTAATTTATTTATTGCATATTTAGCTTCCTTTCACGGTATAATTAATGATATTCAAACAAAATTTTAAACATCGATGGTTGAACAGGTCTATTCGGTTTTATCGATCAATTGTCTGGGCATAAATTTAAAATATTTGCTTGGCTATTCCCAATTTATATCATCTTTGACTGTGGCCAGACATCCGTCTACTCCTCAAAGGGTAAATATATCGAGAAGTAGACAACTATACTTTGCTCTATACTTTCGGAATATTGTCCGTAAAAGTAGAAGATATGAGTAGATTTTAAGTTATGGAAGATGGCTGTTTGAAGAAATCTTGACGCGGATACTTCAAATCCCGTTGGTGTTGTTCAAAATGCATGACTTCTGTTGTAGAGGATATATTTTTCTGATTATAATATGATAGAACTAGCGAATAAATCATTTCTAAAGTTTGATTAGTGAAGATAGAAAATAATTGTTTGTCACAGTTATTTAACTGTGAGTATTTTCAAAACATTCCTTGTTACTGATATCAGTCGTCGTGTACTAGGTTGAGACAATGCAAATGGGCTAGTCTTGGAACTTTCATTAACTTAGATGGTTAAGAAATGTGTTATATATGTTCTAAGCTACTACTACTACTCACTTCAGACATACAATTCTGGCAACATTTTAGCTTGTTAGTTTCTTGTCTATTACTTTTAACTATTCTATAAGTTTCATACTCAATTATATTGTTCTGTAATTAAACTTGTCTAATTCTAACCTTCCTTTTTCTCACTGAATTTTTTATTATCTAGGCATTATTTTCAATTCCATCATGTTGTCATGTCAATAATTTGTATATAGTTGTACGAGTGGATAAAGTTCTTAGTGGACCAATGAATACAGTAATGGATAAATACTTGAAAAATACTAATAATACTAATGATAATATTAAAACTGGTTCAAGTATACAAAAATCAATGGTGAATTATTGTCGTAATATTGGTCGTTATCGTATGCCATTTGCATGGGGTGCAAGGTTAGCTATATGAAATATTTATTCTTTGAATGAAACTAATGTATATGCCCGGCCCGTTGCTGTTACCTTGACGTGGTGGTCAGGCTTTCCTATTGTAGTGAACCAATCGAGCTATACTCGCTGAAACGATCGTTCCTCAAGGTCTTACCATCTTAGACAGATCGGTTGAAAAGTAATAAGCAGCAAACCCAAGGTTCGAGGACGAAGTCCTACTGCTGACTGTACAGACGTATGACGGCAGTAAGGTGTTTCTATCAGACAACCAAGATAACAGCGATGCTGCCTTCCCACAAACAAGGGTGGGGTTAGAAAAGGTCGTTCCTAAAAGTACACACCTCACCTTATCTCACGGATTTGCGTTTTCGGCGATAAGCTCCCAACAATACGGAGCTAACACGAAAATTACTCACAAAAATGTCGTATGTGACCGATCTCAATTAGTTGTCCCTTGGTCACTGTGATCACACTCTCAGGTCATGAAGACCACCCCTAACCCAATTTCCTTTTGTTTTATTTATTTATTTATTTATTTATTTAAACACATAAACATTGGTACAAGGAGGCACCAAATAGATATGAACCACATAAATCATTCGATTTATGTAAGAGCTGGGATACTGCCCAGGTGCCCAAACCGAAGTAGTAGTTAGAATGTATATACTGTTGTAATAATAACAACTTACGAGCATTAATTGTTTAATCATGAATGTTTCAGTGTTCGACTTAATTTGATTATCATGCAATAAAACGAATATGTTTCCGAGTAAGTTACACTTCAAATCTTCTGATATGGAATAGTTAAATGTATAAGAATTTTACTAAATCATTTTAACTTGTAAAGTCAATTAAGTTTAGATGAATGATGAATGTCTCATCAAAACTCTTATTGTCCATACTCTGGCAATGCTATTCATCAATGAGTATACTCATTATAGTCTTTCAACATTTTATAGTTATGAGTATGTGCTGATGCTAAGCCATCTTAATATTAAACTGATCATTAGATAAATAATACCAATGTCATATTTGTCTAATCTGAACTACTGTTAAAATTCTTTGGATAAAGTTCATTGAAATTTGGTCAATAGTCTAATTAATTCCACGACATATTCACTATTTTGATTTTAGATGGTTAGCAAAATCATCACTAAGTTTTAAACCTGTGGGTTTCATTTTAATTGAAACTCATCAGAATTGTGTACTTGCTGTTCAAAGGAAACCTATCCTCTTGCATGATATTAGAACACGGTTCACCCCGTAACACAACCATAAACACGGACCTAATCAATCCATGAATCACTTAGTACGGGACTGAGTTATTTACATTAATTGAAAATCAATATCTTAGTGGTGATTTCTTTCTATGTTTGTTTGTAGATACTGGTTGCTCATGACTCCCAGTGCCTTTCACTACTGTTTTTTTGTTATATAAATATATGTATGACGATTTTGTATTGAATGATGCCTATATTCTTACTAAAATACTTGATAATCCTATTGTGAGGTGAGTATTTTTACAAACTAAATTTCAATTTCACAACTGATTGATCATTGAGTGGTGATCAATGTCTTGTGTATCAGGTCCTGCTTAGTGCAGATCGGATGCTATCGACCAACTTACAATGTGGTCACTAGTCTAAGTGACTCAACATTGCGTGGAGGCTGGAGGTAGTCAACAGAAAACCCTAACCAGCTTTTCGTGCTATTTGGAACTCTTCAGCAAGGTATACCTGTAATCTTGAGGGAACTGGTGTTCCCTGACGGATCTAATCCTGTATCACCCATCTTCACAGTCAGAGACTTTACCACTGAGCTATCTGGGCCACGATTGACCTCCTGTAGGACTGAGATATATTCACAATTGATTGATCATTGGATGATGATGAATATCATGTATGTCAGATCCTTCTTAGTGCAGATCGAATGCTATCAACCTGTTGACTACCTCCAACAGCCATCTTAAATTTCAATTTCTTCGATAACTAAATTACTGTATTTGAAAAATGAATTCAACATTTAAATTTCATTTTATAGACCTGTAAACAGTACAAATCGTTTTATTCATCTATTCAAAATGGATTCTAATAAGATCTCTGAACAAGGATTAATTCAATCTGTACAAATGTTATCCCATTTATCAATTGATTATAATACATATCATGATCGGTATACAGATGTAACAAGCATTATGACTACTACTAATAATGATAATAGTAGTATAAATGAAAGTAATCATTATCATATACCAGAATCTATAAATCATATGTTAAAAATAGACTCAAATAAATCAAAATCATCAAAATTGATTAATAATAATAGTTCTTTACTAAAAGATGTTACAACTTATTTAACCGAACAAGATCGACTCTTTATTGAAACAATTGAACGTTCTCTTAAAACTCAAATGTTACCTTTACGATTTGAATTCGTGATGAGTGAACTAATTGATCATACTATTGATCCTAATGCAAAACCTTTATCACGTAAGTGTTAAATCTCTATTCAAACTTATTTTTTTCTATGTATCGTGGTATGTTAATCTGAAAAGTTAAAAATCTACATTTAGTGAGATTATAATTTCTGGATGACCTTTATTTATCTTATTTGTTTAGTTAAACACGAAAACATTGGCACGAGTAGGCACCAAATAGATATGCGCCACATAAATCATTCGATTTGTGTGAGGGCTGGGATATTGCCCGGATGCCTCAACCGAAACAGGTGGTTTTCTTAGTGAGCCACACCATGAGCCTTCGACCTTAAGGTTTGATCCACAAGGCAGTGGAGCAACGTCAGGAGACGCAGTCCCATAGTAGCCGGTGACCAATAATTGACTCATACGCCATGTGTTCTCTCGGGATTCTGGAGCCAGCGCATGTGTACCATTGGTTTGGAATCAGACTTTTCAACTCCCCTAGGTGGACTCTCCTTGTCCACCAGCCCGGTTAAAGTGCCGGATATTCGCTTTTCGTTTTATCGATTTAGTAAACAACATCCCCGCCGCGAGAATGCAGTGAGTAGGACTTCTGTGTCAGTGGTTGTATGCATGTGGCCATATGAGAGCATTTGCAGAGGGAGAGCTGACTATCCCCACTCTCGGCCGTACCAGGGCATTTGGGGGCGAACAACCTTTGAGTGACGCTACACTGACCTTGAGAGTAGCCACTTAATAACTAGGACGAAATGATGGTTATAAACCAGCGTGAGGAATTATAATTATGATTTACAGTTGATGATTAAGGTTTGAAATTAGATTTGGGGGGTTCCATCACCAACCGACATTAGTTATAATGCCAAAACTTTATTCAGCCAAATGGATGAGTGAATTTCGCGCCCAAATCCAAGACTTATTATCTTATACCTGATTGGTTTATTCATAAATTTATAGTCTCACTTTACATTTTAATGATTATTATCAGAATAATCTCGTACTTAATGTATTTACATTGGAATAGGATAAGGATTAAAATATCCACATTTATAGATTGGATGATGTGATCATTTTAAGAAAACTTTAATTTAGTTTACTTATCCAATTGTTTCATGATATTTCATCACAGATGAAATGAAAACGTTAGAACATTGATTGTATACATCATGTTCACCTGGTTAAATGATGTCTCTTTCACTGTTTATCTAGTTAATATCAACAGTTTTGAAGCATTTACTACTACTTTTTATGAAACATGAAAAATCCGATGTGTGATGTTAGGTTAATAGCTTAGACAGTTGGAAATATTGCTAAAAGTGTTTGAGGATTATGGAGTCCGTCTCTTAATTGACTGATCTTCTTCATTTGCGATTTATCAATATTCTTTTGAATTGAAGATAAAATTTCCATGAAGTGAAGCAATTGTAGAATGACTCTCAGCTTTGTACACTGCTTTATAAGTTAACCTTAATGCCTAAGGCACTATGGTCTGACTAATAGAAATGAAATAATTCGGATTTATTTAGTCCAATTAAATTCAGTAGTTAAAATTAACTTCGGAATCCATTAAGCCACAACTTTGATCATTTTAGTCATTATTGTATGTGCTAAATAAATGCATCTTCAAACGCCATTGGTTTTTGCACCCTTAATTCACCTTGATAATTATGTATTTATGTAGTAATAGTAATGCAATGTATAAAGTGTTCTTTTGTCAAACATGGTGGTGCTACAAGTTCGAATCTTATATTCTACATCTGTTGGGTTCGACCAATCGATTATCAATGTTAATTACTCCTAATCAAAAGATATAGATGAAAACCGATTGAATAAGTTTGTATTTGACCAGTTGAATAATGGGTAACGTACTTGACTGTTAAGTAGTAAGACTCTGGTTTACATTCTAATCTTCGGTTCAAGCAAAAACCATATAGGTTTACTACAATTGAATTATATTACAGAATTTAATAAATAAATTTATATTTAGTTATTTGCTTAATTTATTATTATTATTATTACTATTGATAAATCATAGGAGTTATTGCTTCAAATCTGGAAACATACACACCGAATGTGACAGCTAATAATTCTCATAATTTCTATATACCATCAACACATCCATCGCTTATGTCAGATGAAATTATACGTGAAGTTGAAAATCTATTTGATTTTTATTCAACTCTATCAGGAACATCGTATAATGATGATTATGGAATTAATAATCCAGGTATGTCTTTTAGTTTAATGTGTAGAGATAGTTGAATGAAACGATAAAAAAAGTGAATCTAAACTATTTGTTTCAATAATTCTCTAGTCTGTCTAAACTTAGAATGCTTATTATTCTTTATTTATTTAAACGCATGAACATTGGCACACGTAGGGACCAAATAGATATGCGCCGCATAAATCATTCGATTTATGTGAGAGCTGGGATACTGTCCGGGTGCCCAGACCGAAACAGGTTGTTTCCTTAGGCGTCCACACCCCTATCCTTTGACCTAAAGGTCTAATCTACAAGGTAGTGGAGCAACGTCAGGAGATTCAGTCCCATGGTAGCCGGTGACCAACGATTGGTTCATACGCCATGTGTTCCCTCAGGATTCTGGAGCCAACCCATGTGCACCATTGGTTTGAAATGAGGGCTTTCCAACTCCTTTAGGTGGATCCTCCATTTCCACTAACTCGGTTAAAGTGCCGGATATTCACTTTTCGTATTGTTGATTTGGTGAACAACATCCCCGTCGCGAGAATGCAGTGAGTAGGACTTCTGTGTCAGTGGTTGTATGCACGTAGCCACTTGAGAGCATGTCGATAGGGAGAGCTGACTCTTCCCGCTCTCGGCCGTATCAGGGCATTTTAGGGCTCTCGTAGAAGCTGTGACTGATATTCGTGAATAATAATAGAAAAGTTTTCAGATAGCTTTGAGTATTAAGACCACTAATTGTACAATTTTCCAACGTTTGGATTCAACTTTACGCACTAATTTTAAAATTTCAAAGCTGGCGATTTACGAATTTTTTTGAACGGACTTCAATAGAATGTTTTAGAAAGATTTAATTTTTCAATATATTTTTCATCTTTAATGTAGAATCATTGAGTTGATGATCCAGTCTCGTCCCCATCAGAGGGGAGGCTGGTGGGTAACATACCTAACATTTTAAACTTTTTGGGTTGAAATTTCACTGATCTAAAAGTCAAGCGCTCGATTGGATTCACTCTTAGTCATGGATGTACTGATCAGGAATTTCAAACTAAGCCGAAACAAATATCAAGTGTTTTCTTGTTTTCATTAGTCGTCTAAGTTACGTCAGTTCTTGATGTAAAGTGAAATTTTGAAATGCTGATTCTTTTGAATTTTCCATTGTACAAACCAGTTTTTATTGACAAACAGACTGGTTTATAGAGTCAAACACCTCATAGATATTTTATACTTGATGTTATAATTAAATCACTCATGCATTCCAATTTTAATCTTTGAGCCTCTAACGTTTTGTCGCTCTTCATAGTGAATCAAAAAATTACAACGAAAAAACGTTATCTTAGCTTTTCATGAACATGTTTGAGGTTTCTGAGTTGTGCGGATTTTCGTACTTGTGGTACTGTGGTTAGTAATTTTGGTGTGAAGTTGAAATGGTTTTACGGCAGTTAATTTACGTTGTGACTAACATCAAGATATTCCTGAAATTCTTGTGAAAAATTTCGACTGGTGGGGTTTAGACATATCGATAATGAAGCAGCTGTTACCGTTGACATTGGATATGCATCACTCTGTCACAGATTCATTGGAGTTAGAGGCGTATCGTTGAACTTTGACCCAGGATTTCTAGTGGTCAAGCGCTCACCGAAAGGTCTGAATGTTCAATCCCTGATAAGGTTGTGAGTGATCAGTTTTAAGTAGTTCCATACTAATACAAAGTTTCTGTCCAGAATTCTGTGACTCCAAACGGTTCCGTCAACCAAATATGTTGTGTAATTTTTTTCTTTTTTTTTTTTTAGATGATTCTAATACTCCTTCTCGTACTGGAAGTCTTCAAAGAGGTAGTTATCGAATGAATTCACTTAATAACAAAAATAATAATAATAATAGAGATTCTATTCTATCAACTAATAGTGTAAATAGTACAACTAGTTCACTTAATATTACAAATGATTTACCAAAATTATTAAATAACACACTTCAAAATCAATCAAATTCACTTGAACAATCTGTTATTCAATTTGAACATGGAACAAGTACACAATGTTCAACTATTAAGTTATTACCATTCACTTCATTTTTTAATACATTATATGTATGTCCAAAATCATTGAATATGTCAGGGAAACATAATTTTCCAAGGGTAAATTCAATCATCTATTTATTATTTTTATATGTATAACCATTTTTTTTTCTAGTTCAAAGAGATCCTTTTAAAGTACAAGAAGATTTGTTTGAAAGAATCACTCGAATAAATCCATTGCGGTATTTTCAATTATTCAGTTACATGTTGTAACTGATTTGCTTCCAAATGACCTGGTACGTTCGAGGGTGCAATGAGTCCTTTCTACTGCTCGAAATGCTCTCATACGGTGACGTGTATATAGCTACTATCAGGGAAGTACTACCCACTGTCTTCTCGTAGTAGGGGTGTTGCTTACAAAATTGAGTGGACGAAAAGCGAATGTCTGGTGCTTTAACCGGGTTGGTGGACTGGGCACGGAGAGTCCACCTAGGGCAGTTGGAAAGTTTGATTTCAAACCAATGGTACACATATGCTGGCTCCAGAATTCTGATTGAACCAACTATTGGTTACCGGATACTATGGGGCTGCATCTCCTGACGTTGCTTCACTTCCTTGTGGATCAGACCTTCATGTCAAAGGCTCCGGATGTGGCATCCTAAGATAACCAACTGCTTCGGTTTGGGTGTCCGGGCAGTATCACAACCCTCACATATATCAGTGATAACTACTACTGGTTTCAATGTTATTGTGTGGCGCATGCGTATTTGGTGTTCAAATAAATAGATAAATGTAACTCATTTAATCATTGCTATGTAGTCGTTTTTGAGACAAACTTTGATGGTATTAAGGCTTATAATACCACTTGATTGTATAGACAGAGATCTATTGGTTGAAGGTCTAGTGATGTTGGGAAGGTCTTAATGGTCCTATTAGTAAATGTACACTATGACGTCATAATATCTTGGGTTCAATTTCTGACATGTTTTGTGGTTGCATATTTCTAAGGAGTCTTATACGTAGAGTAAACTGGACTACATGACTGAAACAGCGAAGTGAGAAAATATGCGAACTTATAGCGTGAATGATAGTACAAATGTGTATTGATTTGTGTTGCCAGATTTCATATCAGATAAATGATGTAGTTGTTGTGTTCAGCTATTTAATTCACTCCAATCAGGGTTGTTTTATTTGGTTATCCAAAGAAATAAGTATTAGTACTAAAAGGCACCAAAATATATATGCGCTGCACTAAGTGGTTATCACTCAGTTTCTTTTTGAGGAGGGGTCACTCCCCGAGTCTTTGATCTAGAGTTCTAATCCACAAGGTAGTGGAGCAATGTTAAAAGATGCAGTTCCATGGTAACCGGTAACCAAGAATAGGTTTCGTGTGTGTACACATCTTAATGGTTAAATCACTTGAGGGATAGATCATTGGTTTGGAGGTGTTCTGCTGATAATTTTCAACCACTGAGTTAAAGGTTTGAACGTCGGTTTCCAACTGGTAGATTTCATGTTCGAACCCTATTCTAATTAACTTGGTAAGCTGGCAACTGGTCGATACCACTAATCTTCACGCATAAATCATTGTTCAAAGTCGAGTCGATATATTTACCTATTCTTGGTAAATAGGTTACATATTCGTTGGGCATGTGATATTTTCTAGTCATAAATGATTGAAGTTCTTCCAGTACAAACAAACAATGATTAATTAACAATAAACGAGATAACTTGGAGTCTTCTTATCATTGTCATGCAAGGTAATTCTCTTTGCTTTCGATTTCACTTACTGTGTGAACGTTAAATTCATAACTACCTTGAAGCAATTACTGAGCATTTAGTCTCTGACTAGTCATTTGGTAATTACGTTTTCGTACAATTTTATCGCTTCTTTTTGTTATCATGAATGGATCAATGTTGGGCCACCGTTGAGAACCTTGAAGCACTGAGTAATTACTATGTGCTCACGAGTGACTGGCTTCAAGATGGATTTCTTGAAGTTCTATTGAGAAGCTGTGACCAGTGGAGTTTAATCGTATCTGTTATAACGGAATTACTCACTGAAGACAATGGTGGACGGTCGCGAAATATCATGGACTGGTTTAAGTTAGACATTAACACCGTTGAATTCCGGCTCATTGGTGTATAGGTTAAGTGTTCGCGCATGAGACCGATAGGTCCTGGGTTCGAGTGTGGTGCGCATAATCTTGGATGCACATTGCTGAGGAGTCCGATACTAGGACGAAACGGCCTTCCAGATTTTCAGTGGTGGTTTAACATTGATCCATTCATGATATAAATCTAAACTCAACAATCTTCATAACACCATATTGATACTTCGTTTTGTATGATCTATCATGTCTTTTGTATTTCAAACATCATCAGCTTATTTTTTTCCAGTCGATTTCATTTCAAATATTTCAATTAATTTGTTACTTTTTCATAGACCTTTCTATTGACCATCAGTACGTTTTTAGTAAAATTCATCTTTCTTACCTTCCTCCTCACTATAATATCAAATAGCTTCATTGCTATATATATATATATATATGTACATAGGTTGTGTACCCTGGTTTCCTTCACATTTATAGATTCTTCCCTATTGATCCTATTGTAAATGTCAATTCAACATCAATTCCTTTTTCTATGTTTCTTCTTTTCTCTATAAATAACAAATCGTCAGTGAAAATATTTTTCAGTTTGATTCTATTGTTACAAAAGTAATTCGTTCACTAGTCAGTGATATGTTTCCTTTTTCCGTTCAGCTTTAAGTCGTATAGCTTTTGTGAGCGCTTAAATAAAATTACCTAAATAGCTAATCAGAGTTAATTGGGAGTACATGGAGCAACTAGGTTTAAACAAAAGGTCTTATGGAAATGGAAAAATAGATACTTGATACTTGATACATCAATACTTTGGTGTAAGCTACTTATATCTACATAAGTAGTATATAATGATAGTCAGGAAGAGAATGTATTTCAGTTGAATATCGAAAATGAAGGAACAATAAAATCTAAGACGATGGACTTATATTTTCAAAAGAAACAGTCAAGTTTAAGACAATGGATTGATATTTTGCAAATTACCTATTCACAGTGTAGTTCTCAGATTTTGGTAAGACGTTCTGTATTTTATTGTCCAAATACATTCGATTGTTCCCGCTGATGTTCTTTTTCACTGAAATACGAGTATAAGCATTTGACTCGGTAATTAGTCACGGTATTTAGTCATATGATACACGGTTCAATTGTCTAGAAAATGATCAAGAATAAGCTTCAACCTAAATGAGAGAGGGATAAAAGCGGAAATAATTTTACTTATAAAATAATCTCTTATAGTTAGTTTAGCCAGATATATCGGATTCCACTTTCACATTGGCATTATCAGAACTCGTAGTTGAAAATCAACTATTTTAACTACCAGACTATTACCACTCCACGATTACCCTACGACTAATTTTATTTTATCTGTTACTTACATGTTGTTCATTCTGTTTTGATGTGAATTAATGAAATCGGTCAATTACTTTGAAGCCTATTTCAAGAAATCTGTAGATGAAACCAGGCTTAAAACATATGGTCTGGTTATTAAAGGGTGTACATACCATTTAAGCTGTATCATACGTATTCATATTGCTTTAGCATATTTTTGTTCTCTATTTTTTTTATCACTAATTTCTTTTCTTTTTATTCTCCTGTTTAGGCTCGGAATTTATCATGTTTCATTGAATTACGAAGTAATGATAATTTGGATAATTCCACTGCGTTAAAGGTTAGTTAGTTGGTTATGTGAAAAGTAAAATACTGACTTAACATACATGATAGTATTTACTGCTCAGTCCTGCAGGAGGTTAATCGAAGTTCGAATAGCTTAGGAGTAGCATCTCTGTGAAGCTATATGATACACGTTCAAATCCATGAGGAGCCATCAGCTCCCTCAACATTACACGTGCATTTTACTTACGAGTTCTAAATATCATGAAGCATAGGTCATGTTGGGTTTGCTGTCAATTTCCTCTAACAGTTTTGAATTATTGGAGTAAGTTATTCTCCTGAACCAATATGATGTTAGATAGCTGCTCTTGTGTTATCATGCTAAATTCAAAATACAATAATAAATAACTTGTTTTATTACGAGCTTACTAAAAACTTTGTAAGATGCCTTAAGTTGACAAACATGATGAGATTGAAGAATAGTAGCGAATTTGCTCACTTCTTAAAATGACACTAATAAAGTGAACAATTTTTAGAGGACAAGTAACAAGTCCTACTCACTGCCTTCTCGCGGGATTACTGTTGTCTACGAAGTTGAGGGGGGAAAAAAGCGAATATCCGGCGCTTGAACCGGGTCGTTGGATATGGAGGATCCATCTAGAGAAGTTGGAAAACCCTGATTTCAAACCAATGGTTCACATGGGTTTCAGGATCCTAAGGAAACAAATGGCATATGAACCTATTGTTGATCGCCGGCTACCATGGGACTGCATCTCGTTACGTCGCCCCACTGCCTTGTAGATTAGATTTTTAAACCAAAGACTTGGTGTGCAGATACCACCTGCTTCGTGTTGGATACCCGTGCTGTATCACAGCCCATATATAAACCAAGTGATTTGTGTGGCGCATGCATATTTGGTGCTCCTTTGTAATAATATTTGTGTTGAAATAAATAAATAAGATTAACTAAGTTTTTTTGTGAGTGGTTTTCTTCGCAGACGGTTAATGTACATTTACAGAAGCACCTGCGCCATTGCAAACGATTTTGAGCCATGTCATTCAAGGTCTCTAACCATCGGTCGCTATCATCTCGCGGATCCCAACATGCAAGCATATTCGGGATGCGATTCAATAAAAGGTTTGTCGTAGTCCATAAAGCTCAGTAATTATGTTTCAGAATATGAAACTGCATTGCCTCGGTTAGAATTTACTAGAGAGCTTCAGTTATTCCAAGATTTTTGATACACCTATTTACGAGTGGCAGTCGAAGTGGAACCTAAGTCAGTCATACAGAGTTTCCGATTGATTACTGCCAACCGTCTGGCATCGAAATATTGTCCACACAATGTCGAGTTTTAATTTCACAAGTTATGCACATAAACCATAAACGTCCACACATACTATTTGCCTATCCTTTTGGGAAGTGTTTAAGATATGAGACAAGTGTTTAACAGTCAAATATAAATTGAAATATGATTGTTTATTTTCTATACACTCTTAAAAGCAATTTCAATTCGGTTTGACTAATATAAAGGGACAACATAATCGTGAAAAATCTCAACCAATTATCCGGTTGAAAATAAAGTAAGAAATATTGTTAGGAATTCGGGTTAGTATTCAGAATAACAAAGTATGTTTGCGGTTCTTATTACAAAATGATGTTAGCTATAATATGCACGAACTTTTTAGCCATTTGAATAGATTCATTTTGTGCACAAATTGCTGAGGCGTTATCTCAAACCTTATTGTTTCTTTCATGTAATGTAGTTCCGTCTTAAACTCGTACATGTATGAATGTTTATAAATATGTTGACGATCTTTCTGCATTAGATCTAGATGTTACATTTTTGCTCAAGAGCAAGCACATCATTACTAAAGAGTCACGTAGTTTGATGACCACATTATAACTTGATTGATAGAATTACACCACCAATGAGGACTAGATAATATGTGAAATCAGTCACTCTTTAGTAACTTATCATTGAAAGGGTGATATTTTTAAATTTCATAACAATGAATGTTTACTCACGTATTTATTCCTGTGACTTCTCTTCGAGGAGCATAGGCTTCCCATAAGTATTTTCCATCCAATCCTGTAGGTCCTGGGCAATCCTTTTCTGAGATATACCATAGTGCCAAAGAAGGTTCCATAATGTTTTCGTATCCATTCTGTCAATCGCTTCCTCATAGTCAAGGAAGTTGATATATGGTGATGAATCCCATTCAACTGATTGCTTAATAATGATTCGTAGTGTCGTGATTCAATTCGTACGCAAACAATCCTCACGATGTACGACTTGATGATCTCGAAGCTGGTTGTCTATTGAATTTTTCATCCCACTTAGCAACAATGGTTATAGGATACATTTACTATAAATTTTTCTGCAAAAATTCAATCATTTCAAATAATATTTGCACAGCTGTTAAACAAATGAAATGCATTTATATTATAAAAAAACAAAGTCCATAACATGACATTTTCCCCTCATTGATTGAAGCAAACAATTGTTTATAAAGTTTAAAATGAACATAACTATACAATTTTTCTTTGTTTTGTAGAAGAAAACATTAATTTATTTCCATAAGTTTATACTGTCAGCAAAAACTTGATTCTGAATACATATTTATTTTATTTGAACACATATATATTGGTACAGGAGTGCGCCAAACATATATGCGCCACACATTTCAGTTCATTAATTGCGTGTGGGCTGCGTTACTGCCCGGGTGCCCAGACCGAAGCAGGTGGTTATCTTAGGGGGCCACACCCCGAGCCTTTGACCTAAAGGTCTAACCCACAAGGCAGTGGAGCATCGTAAGGAGATGCAGTCCCATGGAAGCCGGTGACCGAAAATCGCTTCATACGCCATTTGTTCCCGCAGGATACTGGAGCCCATGTGCACCATTGGTTTGGAATCCGGTTAAAGCACCAGACATTCGCTTTTCGTCCTCCCATTTTCGTGAACAACACCCCCGCCACGAGAAGGCAGTGAGTAGTACTTCCCTGGCAGAGGCTGTATACGCGCGGCCGTGTGAGAGTATTTCGAGAGGGAGTGCGAACCCATCCCACTCTCGGCCATACCAGGGCGTTTGGGGGCTCTAAATACATAAGATTAGTGTAACTCCTTGTTATGACGTAATATCACTAGTTATAGTGTTGTAGAAAAATTTTGTTTTAATTTATACTATTCGGCAATTTTAAGATTTAGTCGAGGTATCTAAGTGGTTGTTATTTCCTGATTGCTCACACAATGTTAGGATAAGCCCCCAAATGCCCTGATACGGCGGAGAGTGGGGAGAGTCCGCCCTCCCTCTACAAATGCTCTCACATGGCCATACGTATATAGCCTCCACTAGGGAAGTCCTACTCACCGCCTTCTCGCACCAAGGGTGTTGTTTACAAAGTTGAGAGGACGAAAAGCGAATGTTCGTTGCTTTAACCGGGTTAGTGGACACAGAGAGGCCATCAAGGGGAGTTGGAAAGCCTGATTTCAAACCAATGGTGCACATGCGCTGGCTCCAGAATCCTGAAGGAACAAACTGCGTATGAACCAATTATTGAGACTGCATCTCCTTACGATGCTCGATTGGCTTGTGGATCAGACCTTCAGGTCGAAGGCTTCGGGTGTGACCCTCTAAGAAAACCACCTGCTTCGGTTTGGGTGTCCGGGCAGTATCACAGGCCTCACATATATCAAATGAGATCTGTTTGGCGCATATGTATTTGGTGCCTCCTTGTACTAATATCTATGTGTTAAAATACAAAAAATAAAAGGTAAGGATACTTCAGGCATCTGGGAAATAAACTGGGTTGGGTCTAGTCTTAATGACTTGGTAATGTTACAGTTTAGCCTAAAGAACATCCTCATTTCGTTCACGCACAGGTTTTTTGTAATAATTTTAACCCCCATACTTTCCAGATAAGAATCCGTGGACCACGACATTTTCAGAGTCAACTTAATTTAACCCTTCGTGTTTTCGTTGAGAGAAAGCAATATCTCTGGTTATGCTGGTTTTCTTGATGAAACATATCACTCTATTTCAGTTTAGCTGACAGTATAGATTCGCTGTTGTATCTCATGACTGTTGCTTTCAGTATTATCGTTCTCCAATCAACCTGTCTATCATGTTATTATCTAAAGGATCGAGTTTTCCAGACGCTATTCACTTCATCGGGTCATTTCGGTTTGGATTCCCTACTACCACGTTTAGGTAGCAGCTACAGTCAGGTGTATGTACTTAACTTTCAGCCACAGTGTTTGTGTGTGTGTGTTGTACAGAGATGTCACCAAATTGTTCTTAACGAATTTAGTATAGTACCGAGTTTCAAACTCTCAACCTTATGTGTAAACATCGAATGTTTTAATCAGTAAATCATCACTTCATCGATATTAAGTTTTTGTTATGATGATTTAGTTTGAATAACATCACTTGAATGATTGGTTCAATCGTAATAATAATTTGTTCACAGAAACATCGACCTATTGAAGCTACTCTTATATAACAACATATTAAAATAATTAGATCACAAAAAACTGCTATTCCTTAGCGGTTCTGATTTTTAACTATTTTTGTGATACGATTATGGAATTTTGTATGTAATGTCGGTTAAACCATGACAAGAATGATCACATCTATTGAAGGTCCTGATTGGCCTACGATACTTGCGAATTAAGGAAACTATGGAGCTATTCGAATATGGGTAGTCATGTTGGATATTCGGTAACTCCAAAATTTGTCTTCTAACTCAGGCAAGAAGACAAACGTTATTTTGAGGGAAGCTGCATATTTGTTATGGTTCGAGATTCTAATTGATATCATGTACAATCTTCGCAGTCGAACCATTGACTTATTTCGCAAATTTACTAACTGGTCATTGAATAGCAATCATGGTTCTAACGCTTATTGACCCTTGAGTTCTTTCTAACCCAGCACACTAATTTTCTATTGTACTAAATTCGATCGCAACTCAAGACTTTTACTGAAAATACTAGAACACATAACATATCCATTAGGAAATCACACTTTATAATCAACGAAGTCATAGATGGTGTAGGGTGGAAGAGACTGTCCATAATTAATCAGCGATAATTAGGGAATAGTAAAACCTGTAACGATAGTCAATCAATTCACTGAAAGCTTACAATAATGGAAACGTGTATATATAACTTTATAGTTATTTATAAATAGTGCAATAAGGATATGCATAATAAGAATAATTGGAAAATAGCTCCTACAGTTTCAACTTTCTCAATATTCATCCTGTTATAACGAAGTGTAGGTAAGACTTGATTTAATTATTGAATTCATGAATCAATTCAAGCTAGACCACCATGGAAAACGTAGAAGCACTGGATGACCTTGATATTTAAACAGAACAGCTTTAAACGGTTCAGATCAGTAATGTGTGTTACGAAAGCATAACCTTCAATCGTACAGTAAATTAACGAACTAAAAGAGATGGCAATCTATCAAGATCTACCAACCTGCTTCGGTTTGGGCACCCGGGCAGCATCACAGCCCTCACACATATCAAATGAGATCTGTGTGGCGCATATGTATTTGGTGCCTCCTTGTACCAATATCTATGTGTTTAAATAAATAAAGCAATCTATCAGAAAAGATCCTGAGAAAAATTCTATTTGTGTAAAAGACATTCATGTTTACCTTTAGGATTATTAATAATAAAGGTTGAGTAGTTCTGTGATAGGCTTAGGACTATTGTCTGCAGTTGTTTTGTTATTTACCGTAACTAGGTATATCTTTTTTTCACAAGAGGGTTTGATGTTTGTCAAATAGGAGATGCGATCTCATTTTAACCGGGGACCAACAATTGGTTTATACTTCATTCGCCAGACATTCGCTTTTTGTGTTTTCAATTTCGTAAACAACAGTAATGCTACGAGAAGGCAGTGAGTAGGACTTCTGTGGCAGTGGCTGTATTCACGTGTTCATATCACAGCATTGCCCCCTCAACTGTACCAGGGCATTTGAGGGCGACTAGATACATAGTTGAAATGATTTTAATTGTTGGTTGAAAGTAGTCTGTAGAAACCTTATTTAATTGAGAATTCTTGTTATTTGCGTAATATCAACAAAGCATATCTATAGTCTCGACAGGAACTGATGTTTCTCGCGAGATTACTCTGTATGTCATCCAGTGTTGCTTAGATTATTCACTCAATTAATTTCAATGTTTTTTCTCGTTTATTTTATGTGTTTAGGTGTTTTACAGTCGTCCAAGTATTCGTCAACCAATATTTGATTCATGGTTTAATACTGCTGTAATATATCATGATAATTATCCGAATTTCAGTGAACAAGTATGTTTATTATGTTCCTGTATGTGTGTATATAGTTTCTATGGATGATTCCGGTTGTTTATGATAGTTGGGTTTTTATAAAGTTTATTACGTGTATTTATGTGTGTTGTTGTTGTTGTTGTTGGGTAATTCGCTATTTTTACAATTGTATACTTAAATCAATTAGTGTTAATCGAATTAATAATTTCACTAAAAGTATAATCAACATTTCAGACTGTAGATAGTTGTTACAGACTTTGTGGTTAGTTTCTTCTGATGTTAGCTGTAGCCCCAGTGGGGCTCCAGGCGGACAAATCTATAATAATTATACAACTTGGTTCTTATAGTCTTATCACATCTATACTACACTAAACAAGAAATCAATGAATGCATCATTGCAATTAGTTACAGGTCCATAAAGCCATAATTTTTCAAATTAATGATGACTATTGATGACAATATTGTATTTGTCTAAACTGAAGTAGGTAGACTGAAGGTCAAAACCACTCTCAGTTCAATAAATTAAAATCGTTTCATTGTGTTTGCTGCACTCTGATATCATTCAGTAAATCACTAACTCTAATCTGATTCTATCTGTTGAATTTAATACCTTATTTATTTCAATCCACTCTCAGACAACAAAATTGGTTCATATTTTAGTTCATGGTTGATAAGTTGGGTAGCTTTTGACCTATTTGTATAGTCATCAATGATCTTGATATTTGGAAAATATCAAATTAAGTAATGAATTTCTCATTATAAAAGGGGTAACTAAACAAAAGTAATAAAATAACCAGTGGAACTTATCCATGTCAAGTAGAGACAGATATCTACCTCAGTACAATGAAACATGGTCTCACAATTTCGTGGATTGGTTGAGGTTAGAAATTAACATCGTTGGATGCCGACTCAGTGGTCCAGAGGTTAAGCGTGGACGCGAGACCGAAGGCTCTGGGTTCGAGTGTGACGTGCGAGATTGTGGATGCACTTTGCTGAGGAGTTCAATACTAGGATCTTAATCAAAAACTTAAGAATCTCCACAACCCAATGCTGATAATAACATTGTTTGTTGGTGAATATATATAAAGTGAAAACAAATGAGCTTGGGATTATTTCATAGGAAATTGTCGCAGAAATATAGAGCATGAATCTTATGTAAACTATACTGTCTAATTGCTTTAAGTATTCTTATCCGAAATCAGTTATCTTTCCTTAGCTTTAAAACTTATGATCTAAATAGCTCAGTGGTAATATTTCTGACTATGGGACGTTCTGATACTAGTTTGACTCTCATGAAGAGTGAGAGAATCAGATCTCAACGACTAATAGTTGTTATATCAACATCTTGGTTTTATTTGTATTGCTGCCTTCCCAATTGTCGGCAGTTTATTAAATAGAAATCATTGTAATTTCAACCGGGAAACTGCGTGTTTAGATCCTGTTTCGGTTTCAACAACTAGGTAGTGCTTTGATGCGCCCCCCAAATGCCCTGGTACGACTGAGGGTGAGAAGAGTCCGTTCTCTTTCGAGAAAGGTTCTCACATGGCTAAGCGTATACAGCCGCTGCCAGGGAAGTCCTACTCACTACCTTCTCACGACATTACTGTTGTTTACAAAACTGACAACACGAAAAGCGGATGTTCGTCGCTTTAACCAGGTTGGTGGACAAGGAGAGTCCACCTAGGGAGATCGGATTGTTTCCAAACTAATGGTGCACATGGGCTACAGAATCCTAAGGGAACAAATGGCGTATGAACCTACTGTTGGTCAGCGGCTACTATGAGACTGCATCTCCTAACGTTGCCCCACTGATTTGTGAATCGGACCTTCAGGTCGAAGGCTGGGGATGTGGCCTTCAAAGAAAACCATCTGCTTCGGTTTGGGCACCCGGGCAGCATGGCAGTCTACACACAAATGCAGTGACTTGCGTGGCGCATATCTATTCCTTGTCCCTTCGTTCCGGTATTTATGTGTTCAAGTAAATAATCGTACTCTGACATAATTAGACATAAGTTAAAGCCAAATGCATAAACTATTTCTAAGTTACAGCGATATGTATTTAAAAAATCGCTTTAATTGAAATTTGTCTAAACCAATTAGCCTGGTAAACTTATTTAATGTAGCTGACAGTAATTTAGCTTATCATATGAAAGCTGTTCAAAAGTCTGAATATGAAAGACATTTGTCGAAATTTTATGACGAAAGTCGAACATAATCAACATTGTTTTACAAACCAGAATATATATTCATCCATCCAGTTAAAACCCAGTTGTTGCTGCTACCTTGACGAGTTGGTCGGGCTTGCCTATTGTAATGAACCAATCGATTTATACTGGCTGGAACAATCGTTCCTCAAGGTCCTACCATACCAGACAGGTCGGTTGAGGAGTAGTAAAACTAAGGGCAGCAAACCCATGGTTGGATAGCGAAGTCGTACTTCTGACTGTATAGAGGTGTGATGGCAGTAACGTGTTTCTTTCAGACAACCAGCATTACAGCGATGTTTGCTTTCCTACAAGGAGGGGGATGGGGTTGGAAAGAAAAATCTTCCTAGCCAATCGATCACATATCCGTTAGGTGGAAGTTCATACTGTAAATCTATGTTAAACACACTGTCGTTTACTGACATTCAAGTCCATTCTGTGTTACTTTTTTTTTTCAAATGACTTACTAATATTAACAATAGTTGTTCACTGTTGTTGCTTCGAATCATCTTCACATTCTTTTCATCATCATTGTTTTTCTCTCTTTTTTTTTATTTCCTTAGGCTAAAATCTGTTTACCATTAAATTTAACTTCAAAACATCATTTACTATTTCGTTTTTATCATGTAAGCTGTGAGACGGCTTCAACAAATTTATTAACTTCCAAAGAGAAATCTAATAGTAATAATACTAATAATAATAATAGTAGTAGTGGTAGTAGTAATAATAAAAAACCTGTTGAATCAAGTACAGGCTATTCATGGATTCCAATACTTGGAACAGATGGAAAGTAAGTTATTTTTCAAAATCTGTTTAATGAACTAACATCAGTTTGTGTATAGATATGATTGAAAACTGAAGAATAATTGACAGCTATTACATTCTATTCTGAGGACTGTCGATGTCGCACACACACACACACATATAACCACCACACTGACCCCATAGTTTTCGAACAACGTGGTGTGAATAAATTTTTTACTATTGATTAAGCACAAAGTTATTAAGTCAACTCGATTTTAGCCGGCTTTTCAGGTCATCGATTCATTCCAGACTTGAGATATCTATTTTCAATGTTAATAATTAACATATAGCTATGATTTACTTCAATAATAATGATAATAATGAGATATTGTGCATTTTGAAATCTTCCGTAGGAAAGCTGCCTGATGTGTTAAATTAAAGTTTATTTACTAGGGGCGACATATAAAACAATTGAGATGTCGATTATATGTTTACATATAATTGGTTCTTTAGACCATTATGAACCATGGAATCTATGATCAATATAAGCATTAATCGCGAGGTGTGACGCCGACATATGCCAGAAAGTCATAGCATTCTCATCAAACACAACTAGGTCCTCAATCATCGACACAAATCACCTACGTTGGTGATTTACAAACTGTTGATTTACTGAAGCTCCATTCCAATTATTACCAATATTGAATTGAAATGAACAATAGGTGAATAAAGTACATATTCATTTTTACTGTTGTTAGCGATGAATAACGGTTATTTGCTTATGCTTGACATCGTTCGATGAATACTGTATCTAACTGATTGATGATTATAAACTTCTAGTCTCCCTAATTTTTATTACATACTTACACATTGGATTTGTCTACCTTTTTTTCCCATCTTCTACTCTGTCTATTTTCTATCTATCAGTTTAAATGTTGGCACATTTCAACTTCGTATTGCATCAACTATTCATCCGGGTTATTTACAACAATCAACTATACAAGTAATTCACCTTTTCATTTATCCCCTTTTTATTTGTGTATATTATTGATCGTGATGGTAATGATAGAATACACTCAGTCAGCTATAAGCAACTTAAAAATATAGCATATATATGCTTTGAGTTTAAGTTGCTACACTATATAAGCCTTAGAGAATTGAAATGCATATCTGGAATAGTTTATCTAGTTAATAAAAACTGCAAAACTTTTAACTAAATAAATATGTATAACAACAAACTAAGTTGAAGTCTTATTGTGGTGTATGCTACTGATGTCCATAGATATAAGTAGTATGTATCGTCAATAAAAAGTGAAGTACCTAACAGTAGAAGATTAAGAAGTTCGAAGAAAAAGAGAACGAGAACAGGTAATGATTGGTGTGGAAATAAAAACGATCTGATGATTTGATTGACATGTTGCAAATAAAGTATTTAATGTATGATTCTAAGATTTTACTAAGATGTTCTGCATTGTTATATTAAAATCTATCCTCCTTCACTGCATTACGATCGGTCATTATTTCATAAACTTCATTTTCATCTGATGAGTTAATCAAAATCATAATATGAATTTCAACGAAGGGATCTCTTTTCAACAAATTTATTATCAAACTGTACAATCGTATACTTATATGAAGTTTGTGTGTGTGTGTGTGCGCTAATCCCGTGAGGAGCAAGGGCTAAACAATTACGAAGAAATTCATTAGGATATGAGGAAATGGGAGGAGGGTTATTTCCTAATACGGAATAAAATAATGATAGTAATGATAATAATATTAATAGTTTAAGGCCAAGGTAACATTAAGGATAAGAAGTACTTCTTTTGTACGCTTCATTTCATGAATGAAAAGAGCTTCTGCCATTTTAAAGAATTGCATTGGAAGAAATTTAAGTAGATTTGAATGAATTACATAATTAACTTTAAAATCAACCTGTGGATCAGTGGAGTGATTAGAGTCCATTAAGTGTTTAAGAATGTAACTTCTAACTGCTTTCTTTTCATATTTGCAGTACAATACTGGGAAATGTCCTCGTATCCAAGTTAGAAGCAGGCGCTGGCTACGGCCTACGTACTTTGCTCCATAAAAGCAGGGCAACTGATAGGTTCATATAGAGGCAAGAGATACAATATTTCCAGAATAACATGATTTCATTCTACTTCAAAGTTTCTCATTAGCTTCAAATGACCTAAATATAACATTTATAGTATTATTTCGATCGAACAATGAGAAGATGGGGTTGATCTGAAAAATGTGATGTATTTGCTCTATCCATTTCAAACAATCTGATCACACATATACTTATCAAGGTATCTTATATGAAAATTAATAAACGTCAATTGAATGAAGGTTCAAGTAAACAAAATGATAATTATCGGTATGGGGATTTATGGAGATTGTAGTATTCTCACAGTTGAAATCATGAGCCGATCTAAGCTAGACCGCCATTGAAAACGTGATTCGAGCTTCGCGTGCTAGATTGTGGATGCTTACTGCTGAGGAGTCCCATACTAGGACGAAACATTCGTCCAGTACTTGCAGGTTTACAGTGGTAGTTTATCTTAGATCAAATTGTAATTTCAGCTGTGAAGTAAGTAGTAATTGTAAATAAAGGAGAGAGAAAAAACATTACCCCAGGCCATTAAATTCCATAAGGATGCGACAAGTTTCCGTACAAAAATAAGGGGGTTCGAATTTACAAATAACCAAGGATTCTATAAACCTAAGCATTTGTTCTTGACTATTTCTATATAACGTTGTCAAAGCTGTATTGATTTTATTTCTGTGCCGTGTTTCAATTATGTTCTTTGCTATCGATGAACATGGTTTTCTACTTCCTACGTTTTAACAAGAGAAAATAGCATATTTAACATAATAGCTCAAATTAACTAGTATTTCATATGTTGCTTTCATAAGGAGATGTAAATTCATATATATATACTTGAGGGTGACCTCAGAAGGATATAGATCCACTTTTGATTGATTTAAAGAATATCTGATGTTATATACACTGAAAATAGTTGAACTGCAGGGAAGCTTCTCGTTTTAACACTGTTTTCATCCTTTTATCGATTCTATGTGAAACCTCCTCACCTTTAAGTACCAAACGAATAAAGACTGGTTTACTGTTAACAGTTATTTTTTTTGAACTTTTAGTAGTTATTTTTCTATACTTCATAATAAGTTTCTTTGTATATCCATCTTTCATAAAGTTTTTTTTCGATGCTTGTTATTTTTTCCTTGATATGTTGTTTCCTCTTGTTACTGAAGTCGTTCCAAACTAAACTTTATTGATTATAGTATGTAATAAAATCCTTTTGTAATAATATTACTGCAAGATCCAGGCTGTATGTAGCTGATGAGAAGCCTTAAAATATACTAATTTTGTCTTAAATTATAACTGAGTAGCTTGAAATTTTCAATAATCTACTCAGCTATCTGGGAATTATAAGCAGTGATAGGTGGAGGTTGGTAGTGGAATCCAGAACGTATATTTCGTTCTATTTGGGGCTCGTCATCTGGATGTAACTGCATCTCAGAGTTGATGTTCATTTCGGGACTCGAAGCTAGTACTGTTCTGTTTAAACGCCTTCGCGTTATCCACTTAGCTACTGAGTCCTCATAGCTACAAGCTTGTGCAATAGAGTGAAGTTTTAATTCATTTTTGTATTGGTTGTCAGAATATTCCCATTGATGTTTAGGACTGCAATTGATCAGTCTCATGCAGTTAACGAGTCTTAAAATCGTGTGATTAATGTGTTACCCTATATACTTATAAGCGGAAAACTCTGTGATGCTTATTAATGCTCCTGTGTTTGTGACTACTCATCAATGTAAATCATTAGTGTCTATAATATTTGATATGTAACTGACATTGAAGTCTAGGATGCATGTTTCGTTCTATTTGGATTTTGTCAGCTGAGTATACCCACTGTTGATGTTAACGATAGGACTTAAACTCCATTCCCTCACATTTGGGATTGCGAGAGGCGTTATTTCTAGATAATGTCATACTGTTGTAAATTCCCTATTTGGTCAACTTGTTCATCCAAACGTTATTGAGTGAAAAGATTATGTTTCTGATTAGATGCCTTGTTCCAGAAACAGATAGGGTTTTGAATTAATTGTATGCCATTAGAACACTGTCAGGGTGGTCAACGTCTAAGGGGACGTGTACTATCATGAGTTCCCATGGAGATATAGAAAGGATGATAATGGACCTATTTAATAATAACTTCGAGGATACTAATCCAGAAGGAAGCTGATTATCGATAGATGTCGTTGTGATTAATTCACTAGAATATTCATGTGTTTACAGCTATGGTTATTCCTCTGTACGCCTTTGGCGGATTGAATGGAGATGACTGTCCGGTGATTATGATGGCGCACTCATAGGCCTAGATAATATGAACGGAAGGTCTCTGTGTGAAGTATAAAGAGGTAATAGGAAAGCGCATTAAGAAAAAGTATTTCGAGAAAGCCACTGCAGAAATACCTTTAACGTAGTACTTGCCACACTACTCAGTTATAGACTTGAGGAAACTACTTTTATATATATGTAACGAAGAATTCCGAGTAGTTAGCTATCAACATGACTAGGTTACTAAAATCCGGAACCAGGTGCAACACTTATCAGAGGTCTTCTGGAAAGAATGAGTCAAGGAGTATGTAGCTATTCTTTAAATACGAGATAACTAGTTTACACAGTGTAGAAAATTTCAGAATGCAGATCTAGTACTCGTCGTCAGCAGATTAATGTCTAATGAATAGGCACTTTCCATTATTCCTAATGTTCACGTTAGCGAAAACAGACTTGTAAAAACAATGAGTGTGCAAACAAAAAACATGGCTTTGTTGTTAGGGGTTTACGAAGATTTTGTTTACTTGAGCGTACAGACAAATGACCTGCGGAAAGTCGAAAATCAAACAAATTTCCTACCTAGCAGTTAGTCTTTATTCATGATGCAAGTAGAACGTTGTTCAATCAATCAGGTACTCCATTAATGTATGTTTAGTTCAAGCTAATATACATCTTCAAATAAATAACTAATATCACCTATTTTCACATTGGCATGTACAGATAATATATCTAAAAGTCCAGTACTTAAACTTGTACTTGATTACTGAGTAGCATTAACTAACCAGTGCTTCCAGGCTTTCAATGGTGGTCTAACATCAATCGGTTCATGATCTCATTCAAAGACTTAACAATCTCTAGAACCCCTAGACTGATAATTACCATTTGCTCACTAGTAACTAGCTTCGTGAGAAAATTCTCGGAGTTCTAGTGAGAGGCCGTGACTAGTGGAGCTAATCCATGTCAGGTAGAGACAGGTATCTACCTCAGTACGATGGAAGATGGTCTCACAATTTCGTGGATTGGTTGGGGTTAGACATTAACATCGTTGAATGCCGACTCAGTGATCCAGCAGGTTAAGCGTTCTTGCGCGAGACTGGAGGCCCTGGGTTCGAATCCCACGGGCAGGACCGTGGATGCGCACTGCCGAGGAGTCCCACAATAGAACGAAACGGCCGTCCAGTGCTTCCAGGTTTTCATTGGTAGTCTAACGTCAATCGGTTCATGATCTCAATCAAAATACGTATATTCTTCCTCATTTTTTTTGTCTATAATCGTTAAAGTTATTTTTATGAAAATGATATATTCACTACCATTCATTGTAATAATCGATTGTATATTACGTCAAAAAATCTATTTTCCAATCAAATCAACATTTTCCACTGAAAATTGTTGTTATGGTAACAGTAAGTTGAAAAAGTTTTATCGAATTGTTTAGTGTATATCACTTTTTTTTTACTAATATTCGACAACTACTGAGAGTGAGGAGTTCGCTGGATGTGAGGCCATAAAGCTATTCACTGTCGAGGAATCCTAGACTGGAAGAAAAAAACAAGATCCAGCTATGTAAACTACAGATTTAACAATCCTGAGAGTATACAGTTTTCGTCATGTTTATTATTTGTATGGTAAAAAAATGATCAGATTTTATTGAACTGAAACACTGGTTCAATGTTTAGAAATAACATTACACTTATCCGAGTAGTAGTCACTATCATGTTTGTGTATGTTTTTATTGATGATTGGATTCTATGATGTTGGGAATGGTTGGAAGAAGGTTAGGGGCGGTCAAACCAAAACGTAGCATCAGTGCTTGAAGTCACTAACTTCTAGTCTGAGCCATGTTGTTAGATGCAGACTACTTGGTTGGAGTCCGCGTGACTTTCGTAACCAATGGTTGGAGACTGTGTGTGACATGGCTCAGAATCGATCACAATGGCGTCGGTGTATACAATCTCTGTCTTCCCTTAAACTATGAGACTAAAATTATTTTATATCTTTCTATCAACGTACTAAATCTTTCTTCCTGTACTATATCCTTATTGCAATCTTTCTTTTATATATTATCACCTCTGAATTAACTACTTTTATAAATCCGTTGTCCATTTTGTTGTGTTAATGAGGTATGGCAACTTGGACCGATGCATATATGTGCCTGGTCCTACGTTGTAGCTGACTGACGGACTGGATTCTATGGATCATGATTGCATTTTGTAACTTTATCAACAGAGTTAAATGATTAATAAAGAAGCTGGAGAAATAAAAACAGCATTTACTATTCATAGATTCATCAGTTTTAAAAGTATCAGTTCTACAGGAGGTCAGTCAAGGACAGAATTATTCAATAGTCCCGTGCGTTTCACTGTCCAGCCAGTTAGTAACAACGTAGAACTTCGTACGTACATGCATCCGTTCAAGTTGTCATATCATATTAGCACACAGATACAATTGTCGATCCAAATTCCGTAGTGGTAGATGTAGTAAGAGTATAAGCAGTAATCGGAAAAATTCAGGTTTGAAGGTGTTATTCAAGGAGTATAATCCAATGAAATAAATTTGGAAAGAGAAAAAAAGAAATGGACATGAAGAATTCAGAAGATTAGAATTTGGTAGAACACAAAGAGTGGATGCATTTGCGCCATTTCAAACGATTTTCAGCCATGTCATTCAAGGTCTCTAACCATCGGTTTCTATCATCTCGCAGATCCTAACCAGGTAGTTTACACCTACTAACATGGCTCAGTTCACTTGTCAGTGACTTCATGAATTTGTGCCATGTTTTTGGTCTAGCCATTCACTATCATTGTTTGTTCATTTGAGAATGCTTTATTCAATACTCATATTTAATTGTTTCAGGTTTTTCTTTTTACGATCATCATTTTGTCTTGAATTTCTTTAGAACTTCCGTCATTCAAATATAAATGACACTAGTGGTGGAATTAGCTTACCATTCAATATCGGCAATACAAACTCTACGAATAATAATAATAGTGGTAATTCCAATGATTTCACTTGGATTGATAATGGGAAATATTTATTTAAAGTTGATCTGAAACCTTTATCATCTATATATACACATGATCCAATATTGTCAAAATTCTTTCGTGTTTGTAGTGATCTACTACCACGAATGTTGTACTTATCATCTACGAAAACAAATAATGCAGATAAACAGAAGGTATCTTAATTTATTTGTTTCCAGGGATATTTTCAACTGTTTCTAGTTGAATTGATTCCTTATAGTGTAATTTTCTATTCTATATCATGCCTTTTTATGTCTCACCGTTGAAATTTAATCGATCTAACTTATGTAGCAATCATATTGTTTTTGTAGTGGTTAGAAATATTTATTACTTAGTTTCCCAAATCGCATCAATTTTAGTCAGTTTCAAACCTTTGACCTACTACTGTTGGACGTTGAATGTTTTAATCACAACGCTATCACTCATCGTCTCTCTCTTCTTGGGAAATATCGTTGCCTCGCGGGTTAATTTCATTCTATCGATATTATATATTTTAATATAGGAGTAATTTATATTTGGTAACCCCTGAGTTTAGTATATTGATTTAATTATCATTGGTAAGGATTAATACTTCCCCATTGTTAATATTCAAGACTCCCTTAGATGTCTGCATTGTTTCCTATTTGGGACCTTGGACGAACTTTTTTATATTAGCTACTGTAGCTAGTTGATTATATTTTGAATAATGTAAACCAAGATAAGTATTTCGTTCAGTTTCGGACTCATCATTTGGACATACCTGCATCTCTTGTGTGATGCACCAGCCATGTTCGTGCTTAGTGAAACCGATTGGCTCTTCTGGTAAGAAGAATACATTTAATGCCGTACAAACCCACCGTGCATGTGTTTTCCCCTGGGGAAGTCGTTGAAAACTGTTGGGACGGATTCTGAGAATTAAAATGGAGCCTCCAGAAGCCGTAAAGGAGCCGAAGAGTTTCCATCCAATCAGAACTCGATGAAGCTTTCTAGAATATCAACGTGACATACTACGATTGAACAGTAGCATAACTTTCCTCTTCGCGGATTGGCTGAATTATAATGATGTTATAACTAACGCTAATATCTATAAATACCTATGATTTTCCGTACATTTTGGTTTTTACCTCACAAGCACTTCTCGAGCTTTCTTCTGGTTTTGCGACTGTGGGGTTCTATGCGTTCGAATGCCGTAGTTGCATATGGTATTCAGTGTTAATCAAGTAACAAACATAACAGAAACCACCTAGGTGTTACCTCTCAGGCATCTCACCAGGGGAAAGTGTAATCTACATGCGTAGCGATAACACAAGTTTACACCCACGGATCCCTTGGCATACACATAAGTATATTTATTTATATAGGAGCGTAGATGGTCTCTGATTTTATTAGATACTAGGTAGAGATTACTCAGAAGGAGTTTCAGGTCGGATTTTGCTGCCAAAAAAACCGACGATGCATGGTATTCTCACCCGGTCACCCATGGAAGTACTGATCATGCCCAACTTCGATAATCGGAGGAGAACCGGTGTTTTCAACGTGGTATAGTTACCTTCCGATGTATACTAACTTCGAAACCTCCAGTGTACACCGTTTCAACTTATATGGTGTTGCATAGCACTGATTCATGTTAATTACAAAACCTGTTTAAGGGCTGTAATATTTACTGTTAATTATGCGGGATTGTATTCCTCTGTTGTTGAAAATTCTGGAATTCATTTATCAGTCACCATTGAATAAGTAGTGTCCTTAATTATTACTATTCCTCTTATCATTATCGATTAATTTCTATTTCTGCATTTCTTAGAGAAGCTTTTACCAATGACGATTAGTAATAGTACTTACCTACCCAAAATTTAATACTTCAGTTGCATAACCAATGGTTGTGTCAATAAAATGTTTTAACATCGGTAAATGAATTTTGTGGAGATTTTAGAATTCACATAGTTTGGATCATTGACTGATCTTAGCTAGACAAGCGTTGAAGACTTGTGATCACTGAAGTTCAGTCATGTCGAGTGTGACACTGTTCCCATTCACAGGCAATGGAAGATGATGCACAATATCGCGAATTGGTTAAAATTAGATATGTACAGCATTCAGTACTCGTCCGTTTGTTTAGAAGTGAAGCGCTTGGTGCGAGGCTATCCGTCATGAGTTCTGTCTCCGATAGAGCCTCTAGATACTCATAACCTTAGGAGTCCTGTACTAGAACAAAAATGTTTACCAGTGATTCTTGGTTTCCAGCTATTGTCTAACTAAACTCACTCCATGATATAAACCAGAAAAATGTTTTAATCACTAAACTATCACTTTTCATGATACTTAACAAATTCTTTCTAATCATAATATACAATTGAAAATTTCTACGGATTCATTTATGTTTGTTTTACTTTTCACAGCAAAATCATGTTACATTTCGTGATGATACTGTTGTAATACAATCTAATAATATTGATTTATCATCATCATCATCTTCATCTTCAAAACGTATCAGTATTACAGGGGGTAATATTTCTAATAACAGTATATTACATAATGCAACATCAATTCATTTACATTTATGTAATGCTATGAAAGCATTATTATTGATTAGTCCAACTGCATTAGTACAATTTCTACCAGTTATTCTTAATCAATTTATGGAGATCATTATTCTTAGTGCTGAAACAAGTGAAAAATGTTTTCAACAACAACAACAACAGCAGCAGCAGCAAATAGCTCAACTATCAGATTCAATCAACAAAGATCTTAGTAATACTGCTGATACTTCGGAATATTTATGGTTTAGAAGTTTAAAAAATAATTATAATAATATGATTAGTACAAATACAACAAATTATACTAATACTACTACTACCACTACTATTACTAGTAGTAATAATAGTACACCGGATGATGTATTGAAAACAGCTATTAGGTGGGTTGTTTTCTTCTTGTACACTAAGTACAGCTTTTTTTGCTTTACATAATTTCAGTAATTTCCATAGTCAGAGGGGGAAATATGATCATTTGTATATTGTATTTAAACAATTAGTCATGAAATGTATATTAGACTCGCTTAACTCTGCGGTAACTCAATTTAGTTGTAACTATCAAGTCTAATCTTGACATTGTTACCTATAAACTTTTCTATCTTTTATTTTATGGCTTTATTTATCTATAGAGTTGAAATAGTTGAGCTTATTGACACTTTCAATTACCTTTGAAGTCTCATCAGTTCTGATGGTTTGTTGTCTAATGAAATCTCGGTATGAATGCAGAAATCTCGAATGACTTGCGTCACTTTTTGTGTAGGCGAAATATCCGTCTATCAACCATAGGAAAAATTTACTGTACAACAGTTCTCTTTGTTTCAATTTATTTTGGGTGGTCATTAAGAACAGAATATTCTCGTAGACTACTAGTGTTCGATCATAAGTGTCTTCAAAGCATTGCTCATGTCTTTTGAGACCACGGAGTAAGTAACACCTGGTTAGGGATAGTGTACTAAGCAAAGATAGCAGGTCAGTTCACAAGGTGGTAAGTGTTCGTCAAGTGAGGTAGTTGTGACATGTGTCACGCATCCCCAACCACCACCTGCCTCGACGTGCGATGATGACTGATGTTGGAGTAGGTTGGAAGAAGGCCAGGCGCGGCCAAACTGGAATATAAGATCAGTTCATGAAGCTTTCGACAACTGACGTTGAGTCATGTTCGTAGGTGCGGACTTCCTGATTGGGTTCTGCATGATAATCATAACCATTGGTTACAAAACTTTGAGTGACATGGCTCAGAACCGTTTACAAACGCATAGGTGCATTCCTGTCTTTAAATTCTGAACTTTTGGACTGTTCATAATTTTTTGTTATTTCGCTCATATTTTCCTGAATCGTATCTACGATGCCTAATCTCCATTATCACTTTTACTCTAACTTTGCTAATTTTGGATTCGCTCTAGTATTTTTATCTACCTATGTTAATGGGATTTGACAACTTGAACCAATGTACCTACTTATTCACTTATTTATTTAAACACGTAAGCATTGGTACAAGGAGGCACCAAATAGATATGCACCACATAAGTTATTCGATTTATGTGAGGACGAGGATACTACCCGGGTGCCCAAACTGAAGCAGGTGGTTTTCCTAGGAGGGCCACACCCGGAACCTTCGACCTATAGGTCTGATCCACAAGGATGTGGAGCAACGTATGGAGATGTAGTCCCATGGTAGCCAGTGACCAACGATTGGTTCATATACCATTTGTTCATTCAGCATTCTGGAGTCAACCCATGTACATCAGGGTTTTCCAACTCCCCTAAGTAGATGCTCCGTATCCACCAACCCTGTTAGAGCGACGGACATTCACTTTTCGTCCTTTTAATTTCGTAGAAACACCCTCTCCACAAGAAGGCAGCGAGTAGGGCTTCATTGTATTACACCGAATCGTAATCAAATAATGGGGGGGGGGAGTGTGGATGGGAATAAAACTGTTTATATATTGATGATTACAAATTACATTATTCTTTAGTAAATTATACATTTTGTTTAAATACCAATCTATCCTTTCGTTTAATTCAATTATATATCAATTTAATTCATTAGAATATAATCTAATAGCTTGTCTTTCCGTAATAGATCTTGTCACGCTTATTACCCTTTTTATCACGTTTAATGAACCGACTTGGTTAATATTTTGATTTGTTCTATCGATTAATTGATCAATTAGATTGTATATATTGAGTAAATCAATAACTGAACATTACTTTCCAAGGTTTTATTTTATTCAATACACGTGAATTTTGGTACGATTGAAGCACCCAAAAGTTTGTGTTCTAAATAAACAGAGTTGACATTGAGGAGAAATAAAGCACACACAGAGAGTGAGAGAGAGTAACAGAGAATACAACTACAAATAATTGATTGAATAAAAACAGTACATAACAGAAGATGTTCGTATTAATAATGGAATGGGAAGAAACTTCCATCAATTAAGCAAGTCCCTGTCACTTTTATCATTGAACGTGAAAGAAAACTCCATTGGGATAGTCATTAACTTCTACTATGAGTCGCGTCTGATAACGTTTTTTTTTAACTATTGAGTTGCACCATCTCTAAAACCTAAAACATAAAGTCGTGATCGGTTGATATATGTCACTTGTACACGGATTTATTTCATACAATAGTGCTATGTCATGAACTAAACAGTTCTCCGCTTCTTTACCCACCTATGAATTAAGGGACGAGTATAATGTGCGTCAGTTCGTTCTGTTCTACTTTACGGCTGCGAAACATGGCCACTAAGAGTAGAAGATATTCGTAAGCTACTAATATTCGACTACAGATGCCTTAGAAATATTGCTGGTGTCTGCTGGGATAACCGGGTAAGTAATAGTGAGTTTAGATGCAAGGTATTAGGGAATGATGGTAAATTAGTTGATAAGGTTGTGAATCTTCATCAACTGAGATGGTTGGACCACATGTTACGTATGCCTGAACACCGATTACCACGACGTGCAATGTTAACCGGTGTTGGAGATGGTTGGAAGAAAGTTAGGGGCAGCCAAACCACAACGTGGCATCAGTTCATAAAGTCATTAACTTCTGGTGTGAGTCATGTTGGTAGATGCAGACTATTGGTTGGGGTCCGCGTGACTATCGTAACCAATGGTTGGAGACTCTGATGAAATGGCACAGAATCTATACAATGGTGTGGTATACATTTGTCTTCCTTAAACTATGAGATTAAATTGGTTTATATCTTTCTTTCTATGAACTATTCTTTCTTGTACGATATCCTTATCAATCTTTTTTTGTATATTACTACCATTGAGTGAATAAATCCGGGTTCATCTTGTTGTGTAATGAGGTATGGCATCTTGCCGATGCATATGTATGTGCCTGGTCCTACGTTGTGACTGACTGACTCTACTCAAACTTCATCTATAAAGTTTAAGAGCGGTTACATCACACATACTTCTAGAAGTCTCAACTTTTCTATGTTTACTTGTTAGGGAATTTGTTAGTTAGAAACTTTGAGTGACATGAATCATAATCGTTTACAATGATACAGATTCCTTCTTCATTTTGTCTCTCTTTAGAATATAGTTTCTGAAATCCTCTTATACTTCTTATTTTTCTTCCTCTGTACCTATGCTTTTCTATTGATACTATTCCTATTACTTTAAGATTTGTCTTGAAATTATTTTGTCGCGCTATGGTAATATGAACTGAAATACATGTGTGAAATTCTACGTCCTATATACCTGACTGACTGACTGACTTTCTTGGTATTTGCAAATCCAGATTTATTGTGTTAAATGTTCATAAACCAGAAGTCATAATTTTGAGTGCTGTATACATAAATTTAAGACACATTGAATTCATAGTTTATAAGATATAAGGATGTAGAGAATTACAGAAACTTGTCGCATAGATTATTAATCCATTCACTTAAGCATTTATGTAATAGAAATTACTTAAACATATTTAGACTCGTTCATCTACTTTTTATATCTCATTCATATTAGCTTACACCTTTGTCAGCAATTGATTTAAGAATCTACGCACAACTAAACGGATTTTTATTTTGTCCTACTAATAGCCCCCAAATGCCCAAGTACGGCTGAGAGTGAGAAGAGTCAGCTCTCCTTCTCGAAATGCTCTCACATGGTCACATGCATACAACCACTGTCAGAGAAGTCTTACTCATTGCCTTCTTGTGGAGGGGGTGTTTCTACGAAATTAAAAGGATGAAAAGTGAATGTCCGTCGCTCTAACAGGGTTGGTGGATACGGAGCATCTACTTAGGGGAGTTGGAAAACCCTGATGTACATGGGTTGACTCCAGAATGCTGAATGAACAAATGGTGTATGAACCAATCGTTGGTCACTGGCTACCATGGGACTATATCACCTGACGTTGCTCCACATCCTTGTGGATCAGACCTATAGGTCGAAGGTTCCGGGTGTGGCCCTCCTAGGAAAACCACCTGCTTCAGTTTGGGCACCCGGGTAGTATCCTCGTCCTCACATAAATCGAATAATTTATGTGGTGCATATCTATTTGGTGCCTTCTTGTACCAATGTTTATATGTTTAAATAAATAAATGGTCTTGATTAATAAATTTCCGAATACATCCAAACACCTAACAGCTCAATGTAGTACACAAGATAGCAAGTAAAAAACTAGTGGCTACATTGCAAAGTGATCGATGAAATTCTATCAGCACCAAATAGTTAGACAAAGACTATATTGATCCAGTACTTAGTGTCCAATCAATTTCAAGTATCTCATTGTTGCCGGAGATTATTCGCTGTCCGAATACCTCATTGTTGATATATCAGGTTATGTTGTGCGGTGATGCAGACTTACAGGAAGTGAGTGCAAACTACCATGTACCTTCAATGATTTGTGTTACATGACACCATACTGAATCTCATTTTATTCAACTTTACATTGCGAAAACGGCTTTCTTTTTTTGTAATCAACTTACTGTTGTAAGCCATTGATTGAATTTGTTTGTTAAGATTTCTTTTTGGTTGTTGTTATGGAATACCGTGTTGTTTAGATTCTAGTAAATATAATTTTGTACTTTTCCCATTTTAGTACATTAGCTATGCTTGTCTCTGAATTGAATGCACAAATTCCAAATGATAATTGTTATTATCCAATCAAGTCAACAAATGATACAGCCTATTTAGATAGTGCAGTCGATTCAAACATACCAAGTGGTGAACGTGTAAAGCACAATTTATTGAAAACTTATGTAGAGGTAAGTTGTAAAAAATTCTTCTCGGTTTTCGAAAGTTTTCTTCACTTTGTTGTTACTACTCATAAGTAAATAGAAATGTTATCATGAAGATTCAGAACTCCACTGATTGTTTCGTTTAATTTGTAAAATTAGTCGATTGACTAATATCCAATTGAGTCCTGGTATTCGATTTTCTTTCTTTTCATTCTATATGGTAGTTTATTGAAGAGTCAAATAGCGTACGAAGGAGCTGTTTTCTATTTGATTATGTTGTCTTAACTCATCCGTATTGTTTTTATAAGTATCACAACGTACAATTTAAATAAAAAGTTAGATGGATATGTGATAAACTCTCAGGCTTCGTTTGTCAATTACAAGCGATGTAAGCATTACATGAGAACTTCTTCAAAATTCTTCATCATTTATACGCTGAACGAAATTAACTTTTGAATCCCGTTCGAAAACGTCGGAAAGACACTTTATGAGTATCGCTGTCAAAATTTCACTTTGAAATTTCTAAGTAAATTAAATTTTGTGTTGATTTTGCTGACGCAGAAAGCGTTCGCGCGTTGAACCGATGGCCCTGGGTTCGAATCACGCGAGCGGGGTCGTAGTCGCACATTGCTGAGAAGTCCCATATTAGGACGAAACGGCTTTCCAGTGCTTCCAGGTTTTCGATGGTGGTCTAATACCAATCAGCCTTAGTAATCTCCACAACCCCATACTGCTAATAACCATGTGCTCATTAGTGACCAACTTCGTGAGGAAATTTTAGGAGTTCCAGTGAGAATCCGTGACTAGTGGAGCTAATCCGTGTCGGATAGAGTTAGGTATCTGTTATGCCCCGATAAGAATAATGAGTAGTAATTTTTGGGATCCGTTTGTGGACCAATACTATACGTATATTTTTACCGTATAATTGTTAATTAACTAAGCTATTCATATTCATGTCTCTCTTATCATAAGCTTTATTTTAACCTATAAACTGTTATTATACGATTTTCCATTCTTAAATTATTCCCTGTCTATTAGTCACTGTCTCCCTCATTCACAGCCACATCTGGTTAGTTCTTGTACAAATGTTTCGAATATAATGATTCATATCGCAGAGGCTCGGATTGGTGTTCTGGACTTAACTGACTGGGCTAGGCGGAAACCAGGACCAATCAGGACTCTAGGCTGCTAGCGCGTGTTTTACGGGTCCTTGGTCCGATCGATAAGTCACTGCCCTCTGATCGGCGGTCACAAGTTATAATAGTATCTACCTCAGTACAATGGAAGATGGTCGCGCAATTTCGCGGATCGGTTGAGGTTAGTGGTCTAGAAGTTCAGCGTTCGCGCGCGAGACCGAAGGCCCTGTGTTTAATCTCCGCAAGCGGGATCATGGTTGCGCACCTCTATGGAGTCCGGTAATAAGGCGAAACGGCCGTCCAGTGCTTCCAGGTTTTTCAATGGCGATATAACATCAATCGATTCATGATCTATTATTATCATTCGACCCGATTTTGTCTTTGTGAAAGTGGTTATATTGTTTCTTTAAATAAGCGATTTAAATTGTTTTGAAGTTTGAGTTTTCCACTTCTTTCAAATGTAATAGTTTCTTAGAATTTGACTCAAATTAACATAAGAAATATTTCCATACTCTTCACTTTGAATCGTTAAAGCATGCTTTTATATTTGGATTTAGCTGTGGAAAATTCACTTGTTCGGTAGTTGGTTTAAGGACACCCCAAGAAACTCTTTAAGTACCTACACGTTTTTTCCTCTATCATCATCGGTTGGACTGTTAATAAAATTAAATGACCAGACCACTACTCAATTTGTTCAGGATTCAGAATTACACAAAAAAGACAGAGGAATAAAGATCTGACTAACACAACCACGACACAAAGAATTATGCAACTATGCTTAAACTACGAATTAGGGCAGAAAACTTATATACAAAGGTTAAATGTAAGTCACAATTATTTTGAATGGAAAACAGTGTAATCGTGAATCCCACATCAACTTAAAGCTTGTGGTCTACAGAATAAACCAGAGACAAAACGAAAGGTTCATATTTTACAGACTTTAAATTAAATGAAGTAATTTTCCCAAAAATAGCTTCAGGTGTACATCATGTCTTCTTTATTTCTCTATATACACCTTTCCCCTTAACAAAAAAGGTTAGGAAAACTGACTTATGTTGTGATCCTTGCAAGACGTGACCAATCTAGTTAACTGTAATAAACTGAAAAGAGGAATAGTGATTAACTTCTAGTTAAAAATAATAGCTAAATTGACATCATTGATAGCTTCCTTCGGAGACAATGTATGATCTCCTTTTTGGTTCAATATGGATGAAATTTGGTCTTCTTCGTTTCCTCGCATTCTAGATCAATAAACATATTCTGTATTGAGACTGTCCATGAGGGTTCTCCACACTGAGCCTAGTTTTTTCAGTTTTCTATGATGTTGTTGAATATGTAAGTATGTGGTTGGCATGACGTATCCACCCTTTAACTTCCATCACATACATTACTTTTCCTTGTATTTTGTAATTTGTTAATATTTCCTCTTTCAAACAACTCTATCCGTGCAGCAGACTCTCCCAGTCTCCCACATTGTACGAGCATTCCATGTACCTAAGTAAGTGGTTGCTCTGGTTGTCAGAAGGAGCATCGGCCTCGTGACTTCCGAAGGAACTCGGCTTTTATCATGAGGCGTAATAACTCTTCTAAATGAAGACCTTCTGACTCCCAGGACAGAGTTTAAATGGTTTGAATAATTTTTTTCTGGTTAGCGTTTATTTAGTGATTTAGTTTTCTACGGGATAGAGTCGCTAACCTCATGCCCACCCCTCCTCCTTTGTCCGGGCTTGGGACCGGCAGTAGCCCCCGGAAGGACTCCAGACGGAGTCTATCCGTATTAATAGTTTATTATTTCACTAATTATTCGTAATTATTCAGTGAAAAGAGTCAAATAAGTAAATTTACATCCGTCTAATATCCTTCATGTTTGTTTTCCTTCCTTTTTTCTCTTGTTCTTTTGATGTGTTTTGTTTAAATTGCTGTTGTGAAGGCCGATAGTGGCCATCTTATATCAGGGTATTTATGAAAATGATTCATATCTGTCAAATACTTTAAATATTGTAAGCTAGACAACAACCTACTGTTTTAGCTTAGTCAATTTTCAATTTATAGACATAAACAAACTTGAATACGTGTATACATAATCACTTAAGTATATATATACCCTGGTAGATAGGTACCAGCATTGTTGGGAAAAAAGATTCACTAAATTCATTATTCATGCCACTTTATATATTTGGTAAATAGTGAGCTTCTTTTCAAAAGTTTGTTTACTTCTTTTAATGTCCGGGTACGGTCGAGGGTGGTGAGAGTCCACGTTCCCTCTCCAAATGTTCTCACATGACCACGCGTATATAGCCATTGTCAAGTAATTCCTACTCACTGACATCTCTCAGTGGGGGTGTTCTTACGAAATGTGAGTGTCAATCGCTTTAACTGGGTTTGTAGATACCGAGCATATGCTTAGGTGAGTTGGAAAATTCTGATTCCAAACCAATAGTGCACATACGTTTGGCTCCAGTATCATAAAGGAACAAATGACGTGTGAATCAATTATGGGATTGCATCTCCTAACATTGCTCCACTACCTTATGAATTAGACCTTTATTTTGTCATGTTGACCTGCAGAGAAGTATATTTCTCTTATTACATATACATATGATGTAATTATTATTACCATTACTTTCATTAATCTGATGTACATTTACTTCTAGTATACATTTTATTTACATAATAATTGTATTGATACCCTAAAATGGCCTTTTTTACCCCTTCCAAATTTATAAATGATTTATTCTCAATGTATTTCAGCCTTAATCAATGCTAAAGTTCACTAATTTAACATTTCACATTGTTTAGTTCACTTAATCATGGTTATTTTAATTTACTGTAATTGATTGCGGATTGATAAATGTAGGATTTGATAATATGATTATTGAAAATCATTTAAATCCTGAACTGATCTAAGTTAGACCTTCATTGAATACCTAGAGGTGCTTGGTGGTTGATTTACTTTAGTATGGAGCTTCTCAGAAGTGCGTATCCATGATTCCACTCGGGGGTGGGGTGGTATGAATAAGGGACCTTTTGTCTACCTCTAGTCGACATTTAACGATGTTAATGTTTAACTTCCTTGTTGCTCAATGTATAGTACATTGTATTTTGGATTAAAGTTTTATATTTTTAAGCCAGTTTCTATCACATTTTGGATGATAACCTAGGCTACCACTGTAAACAGTTGTACAATACCTAATATTAGGTCTGAACTTATCAACCGTGCCCTAATCAGATCTAATAGTGAGCCTTATCTTTGAATTGTCGTGCCAGGAATTATTTGTATATTCTATCATTTTGTAATATTTGATGATCGTTAACCAACAAATTGGCGTGAAACCATTGTCTAATGCTTTTCAGCTTTCGACGTTTTGTAATGAAAACTATCTTCATAAAATGGTTAAACATATTTGTAAGTATAAAATCCAGTTATAAACAGAGGTGGATAGCGGCCAGCACGCGCGTTTCGTCTTATAAGAGACTGATCAACTGCTATCCTAACCAATACAAAATTGAATCTACACTTTACCCCCATTGTACAAGCTAGTGGCTATCACGACTCAGTAGCTAAGCGGATAACGTGATGGGATTTGAAGCGAGCGGCATTGGGTTGGAGTCCTGAAATGAATATTAACTCTGAGATATAGGTACATCCAAATGACAAGTCCTAAATATGATGAAACCTATGTCCTGGATCCCACTACTAGCCGTCATCCATCTTGACTTATGATGCTTGTGACTTAAAGCAATATCGAAGCAATCCGTACAGGATGTATATGCACCAATGTGAGACTTATCTATTGCACTTCTAAACATCAGTAGGAAGATGCAAACAACCAATACAAAAAAAATGAAATAAAATTCAGTTGTTTTTGAGTAAGGTTAATTAGGTTAACTAACAATAATCACGTGGTTACTAGACTACAAGCTCGAATTCTGTATCTCTGACCTGGAATATATCACCTGGTACCTAGGGGGGAAACCTGGAGAACTACAAAAGCCATCATCCAGAAGATATAAGTGTTTATTAACAGTTTTCTATGCAAAATACATCAGATCCGTTGGCCAGACACAACCTACTGTGGGACAGAACAAACCAGATCCCAGTGGAGTAAGAAATCAGGAAGAAGCGATGGTAATGGATAGGACACATTGAAGAAAGCACTCAACTGCGTCACAAAGCAAGCCCTCACTTGAAATCCTCAAGGCCAAAGGAAGAGAGGAAGACTAAAGAACACATTACGCCGAGAAATTGAGAGACATTAGAGGAATGAACAACAATAGGATAAAACTAGAAAGAAAGGTCCAGGACAGAGTGGGTTGTATAATGCTAGTCGATGGCGTATGCTCCATTAGGAGTAGCAAGTGTAAGTAAGTAAGTAACCTGTTCACTTAAGTATGATTAGGACTAGACGAACGATAAGATATTGAATCAGTAAACAATAGACGTCAATACACTTCCTCAATATATATATATATATATATTTTATCATTTTATAGTTTGTATTCAATCCTGATCATTTGTTAACAACATGTATAAATCATTATTTAAATGAGAATCAACAAATCAATAATGATCCAAGAAAAGAAGAAAAAGAAGGGATACAACTCAATGAATTAATACATCATAAAAGATTAAATCGTTCACCTCCACCACCATCATCATCACCATCCATAACAACAACAACAAGATCTAATAAATTATCAATATCACAATTGACAATTCATCAATATTTTCCTTTATCCTCATTACATCATTCTATTATTCGTGGTTTAATTCTACTTTTATCTGATATTCATTGTCCAAATAATATATTAATACATTTATTTAATAATATTTGGTTATTATTAACATTAATAATTAAATCAATGACACAATATTTATGTATTAGTAAGAAAATATGGGTAAGTCATTCAGTTATATTGTATATTTGTGTATATATATATATATATATAGATGTTAACTGTTTAGCAGTGTTTACCATTTGAAGTAACTACTTCGATGAATTTTGATGTTCATCTTGTTGTGTTAATGAGGTATTACAAGTTGTACCTATATATGTATATATATGTACTTGGTCCTACATTGTAGCTGACTGACTGAGTGGTTAATAGAATACAATCAATATTCATTGTATTATCGTCTTTCATTAAGGTTCACAGTTATTTTGTCACAAGGAAATTACTTACTTACTTACTTACTTACTTACTTACTTACTTACTTACTTACTTACTTACTTACTTACTTACTTACTTACTTACTTACTTACTTACTTACTTACTTACTTACTTACTTACTTACTTACTTACTTACTTACTTACTTACTTACTTACTTACTTACTTACTTACTTACTTACTTACTTACTTACTTACTTACTTACTTACTTACTTACTTACTTACTTACTTACTTACTTACTTACTTACTTACTTACTTACTTACTTACTTACTTACTTACTTACTTACTTACTTACTTACTTACTTACTTACTTACTTACTTACTTACTTACTTACTTACTTACTTACTTACTTACTTACTTACTTACTTACTTACTTACTTACTTACTTACTTACTTACTTACTTACTTACTTACTTACTTACTTACTTACTTACTTACTTACTTACTTACTTACTTACTTACTTTTTTACTTGCTATTTCACTTCGGTTACATGACTTTTTGTGAGTAATTTTTCTTGTGGCATAAAGTTTCAACTTAATGAACTGTTTTGCTTTCTGTTTTGAACTTCTATGGATCATCTGCAAATTATCTAGAAAGATCAAATCAATCAACAATTGTATTATCCTAGTTTTGATAGATACACTAACACAGAGGAATTGATTTCAGAAAATTCACTTCCTGGAACTGACCGCACTAATCCTAATACCTTGTTGATTTCCACCAATCCTAGTAGGTTTATAAATTTAGTTCTGGGTGTATAAATGAAGATGTATGGTATGAGTTTCTAGTGAGAAATTTTTATTCTTAGTCATAAATATTTCCAACTTACTCACTGGCTTAACACTTATCATCTGGAGAGAATGTTTGAAAAATGTATGAAACAATCTAAAGAAATGTTTTGTCCTAGTTCACAGGTCTCTCATGTATAATGAGCATAATCGTTCTCAGTCTTCCCAACTTCATTCATTTCTGAATTGATATTGATTTCGTTGAATTCAGCAGTCATAGATTATCATTAAGAAATAATTAAACTCAGAGAAGGGTTTTTGTGGATATTATAGTAATTTAATAGTTGGATTCATGAGTTAATTAAAGCTAGACTGCTATTGAAAAACTGGAAGTACTGGACGGCCTTTTCGTACTAGTATAGGATTCCTCAGCAGTGCGCATCCAGTGCTTCCAGGTTTTCCATAGTGGTCTAAGTTCTATTGGCTCATGAATTCAACTATTAAATTACTGTAATGTCCACAAAAACCCTTTTCTGATTATAATCACCATATGCTCACCAATGACGGTCTCCAAGATGTATTTTCTGTAGTTCTAGTGAGAAGCCGTGACCAGAGGTGTTCAACTGGGTCTGTTGTAAGATAGTAACTCACTGATGACAATGGTTGACGGTGGCTCAACTTCGTGGATTAGTTGAAGTTGGACATTAACACTGTGGGATGCCGAGTCAGTGGTCTAGTGTTTAAGCATTCGCGCGCGAGACTGATAGATCCTGGGTTCGAATCCCGCGAGCCGGGATCGTGGATGCGCACTGCAATGGGACGAAACAGCCGTTCAGTGCTCTCAGGTTTTCCATAGTGATCTAGCTTCAATTGACTCATGCATTCAACTATTAAATAATTGAAAGTCCATTTCAGAATTAACCACTATTGTATACTTGATTGTTATTATTTATTAAAGAGAGTAGTCATGTAAAAACCTTATGCTGTTTCAATATCATAAAATTTAACATGAGTTGTGTATTGCAGTGGAATCTAGCACTCACATTGAGATTCGAGTGCAGTGCATCAGCCGCTAATTTGTGCAACGCATACGATGTTCAAATCATTGTTAGTTAATGTTTAAATTATCTTGTTCTTGATATTCAGGACAGAATTTTAAGCTACATAGCATCACAAGCCTACTTTAGTTGTTCGACAACCAGTGAAAATGAAGAAGGATCGGACAGTTGTTCTATCCTATTTCGGAACCTCTTAGTAGTGCACTTGTATAATATTACTAGCGATAGGATCGTGGATCTTCAAATCTCGCGGCAAGTGTTTGGCCTTTTGGCATCCAATGGTGCACATCACTAGCTTTGATCATTTCACAATATTATGTGACTCTTTCCCAGGTACCATGTTTGTATAAATATCATCTGTCTTTTTTTTGTTGTTTTAGGCCGAACGATCAGGTGAAACACGTTTTTCATCATTATTCTGTGAAGATTTAACTGTATTTATTCAATTGATTGGATCACGTTTATTATCTACATCTCTTGGTACTACAAAAACCACATCAATAACATGTAATCAATCTAATAAAACGGATGAATTAGATACTACCACTTATAATCAAGTTATTACATCACTTAATGGATCATTAACAAAAATGGAACCATTCAATTCTCTAACAAATTCACAAGCAAGTAAATATATCAATCAATCATTAACACGAAAAACTTCACCTCGTTCTGAATCTATTCAACTTAAACAATATTCTAACAGTGTTAAATCTAATCCACATCATACCAATAATAATGTAATTGATTTTAATGGAATTGATGTAATCTCAGCAATCGGACAATTTTTATGTCATTTATTCAATTTAATGGATAGAGGTTATGTTTTTAAACGTGTTCGTGATTTGTTAATGTTCCTTGAAATATCACCAAGAATGGTAAGTTGACGTGTATGTATGTGTGTGTGTATGTATGTATACTTAATGAGAAATTAACTAGATATCGAGAATTGTACGTTAAATTACTTAGATTAATACACATCAAACAACGTCTCGGTCTGTTAGTCTGCTTGACTTTTCGGATTCAATCCATCTATTTGTGACAAAGCATTTAATGCTAATCCAAAGTTACTATGCTTCATCATACATTGGTATATCTAAATTGACCATCTGTTATCTTTCTACGCAGTTCCAATGCCCATAAATAATGCTCAAAATAACCAATCAGTTGTAAATAACACAATCCTTCAGGAGATCACTCACTTTCCGAATAACTTCTTGATGACATTTAAAACTGCGGAACTGTTTAACTCGGTGTTATGTTTGAAAGGGATGATGATTTTACCTGGGACCGGCGAACGGAACAAAGTTAGCAACGTAACAATAGGACAAGCTAATGTATTACAATGAGCCCCAGTTTTGCTAACTATCCGGAGAAAATCATATTCAACTGGATAAAATATATATCTCACAAACAGCTCGGAAAAAACGAACGAAAAGCACACAACTCATGCATAGATATATAAAATACAAAAGTATCTTTGAAAAATGTTACAAAATAGCGTACTAATAGAGGAAACAAACCAGTGTCATTTAAGGTCATTCCAGATGCGAAATGCGAACTGAAGATAAAAATGGGCGCGAAAATGTGAAATTCAAATTTGCATAATAAATTTACAAATGTGAGACTCTGACCAAGGGATTTCTGACGATCAAACATCCACAATACTCAGATTCCAATTCATAAGTGGTTGTTAGTTCCTTCTAGATTTCAGGTGCATCTTAATGAAGAATACCAACGAACGTGAAAGCTATTTCGAAGGTTTTCTATAGACTTCCTACAACCACCTTACATTTCAAGAATACAAATGTGATTAATTGCCCTAAAGTTTCATGTTCTTTCACTCAAATAATGCATTCTTGTTCGGCAAACAGTGTATGAATTGCAGATGAGCTCAATATAGTACTGACTTTGTAATTTGAGTTGGAACCATATGGTTTTAGGTTCGAACCCCATTTCGGCTATTTTGATTAAAAAGGTCAGATTGTAAAACTAGCGCTCAAATGAAATGGTTCCCAAGGCTGTATTCAACATGAAGTTGATGACTTTATATTAAAGGTGGTGCTCTAAAACATAGCATCGTTAAATATTTTCAAATAAGATCATCACTGAAAAACTCAAATTCCCGGGTAACTATTTTGCTTTAGTATAAGACTCCTTAAGAGTACGCTTCCACGATTTTACACGTGGGGCTCGAACTCAGGTTTTTCGGTTTCTTGTGTGGATATTTAACCACTATATCGTTGAGCTGGCATCCGACGATGTTAATGATCAACCTCAATCAATTTACATTAATGCGCGACCATCTTACATTATCTTTGGTAGATAACTGCTTCACACGCTACCCAAAATAGCTTATACTAAAACGAGTCGGATGCCCTGTGCTCCCAAGTTTCACTAGGGGGCCAACTTGGATTGGTTCATGATTTTAGTGAAATGAAACGTTCTCCACAACTTCCATATTGTAAATATTCATGGCGAGACTGTAATTTATGGACGGACCAGTCACGTATAAGATAACAGGTCTTGAATTTTGGCGCGAAATTCATTGATCCATTTGGATAAATAGTGTTTTGGCATTATAGCTGATGTCGTTTGATGCTGAAAAGCCCCCAAATCTAATTCCTAACCTTAATCATCAACTGCAAATCATAATTCTAATTCTTCACACTTTTATAACCCGCATTTAGTCCTAGTTATTAAGTGGGCACTTTTAAGATCAATATAGAGTCACTCAAAGGTCGTCCATAAATTATAGTCTCACCATATTCATTGTTACAGTGTTATATAAATCCATACAACAACACTTTTTTCTTGTTTACAACTTCTTTCCTTAACTCAGATTTCATCGTCTACGAATATCAACCCGATAGGATTAGATAGTTAAAGGTAGTCGATAATCTTGCGGGTGGGATGGGGGGACTGAAAAACCTCATGTGATTCGATCTCGTGTCACCAAGCTTTATAACATAAGATGTTATACTGTTGAGTTATTAGGAAAGCTTCCGGTTTGTAGTAAAACTGAAATGTTTTCAATTGATGAATGATTAAGTAGTGACAACAATCATGTTTTATTTATTTATTTATTTATTCAAACACATAAACATTGGTACAAAGAGGCACCAAATACATATGCGCCACACAAATCATTTGATTTCTGTGAGGGCTGTGATACTGCCCGGGTGCTCAGACCGAAGCAGGTGGTTTTCTTAAGGGGCCACACCCCGAGCCTGTGACCTCGAGGTCTGACCCACAAGGCAGTGGAGCACCATGAGGAGATGCAGTCCCATGGTAACCGGTGACCAACGATTGGTTCATACACCATTTGTTCTATCAGGATACTGGAGCCCATGTGCACCATTGGTTTGGGATCCGGTTAAAGCTCTGGACATTCGCTTTTCGTCCTCTCAATTTCGTAAACAACACTCTTGGTGCGGGAAGGCAGTGAGTAGGACTTCCCTGGCAGAGGCTGTATATGCCTGGCCGTGTGAGAGCATTTCGAGATGGAGGGCGGGTCCACCCCACTCTCGGCCATACCAGGGCATTTGAGGGCTAAAGTGTGGCAACCGGATGTTACAATGTGGAAGTGCCGGGCAATCATGTATTCCTAATTCTTTAGTGTAAATTGAGTTTTACTGATATGTTTATTTTAACATTGGTAGGACTTCATGAATCTAAGTTTCATGGTTGTTTAAACATAAATTTTATTTCGTTAGGTCAGTTAATCACTATATGTTGCTTCTACAATAACAGACCATTACTTCTAGTAGTGTACTGATATATTTGATGCATATTTTGTCTTTTCATTAATGTGATTATGATTCGTACCCCTCGCCCTTCTCCGTTTCTTTTTTTTAACAAAAATTCTATCCTTTGTTTTAGTCCGCTGATAAAATTGATCAATTAAATGAATTACGATTTGAATTATTACGTTGTATTTGTGAACATGAACATTTTATTCCATTGAATTTACCCATGTTAAATATATCTGATGGTTTAAGTAAGTTCACTTTCCTATCTATCTTCTTTCATAGTTTGTAGTGAGTGTTTAGTTTTTGCGTACAATTCAAAATTCAATGATAGATTTTTATTTATATGTTTATTTAAACACATAAACATTAGTACAATTAGGCACCAAACAGATATGCACCACATCAATCATTCGATTTGTGTGAGGGTTGGGATACTGTCTGGGTGCCCTAACCGAAGCAGGTGGGTTTTTTTTAGAAGGCTACACCCATTGCCTTCAACCTAAAAGTCTAAACCACAAGGCAGTGGGGCAACGTCAGGAAATGCAATATTATGGTAGCCGGGGACCACCGATTGGTTGATACGGTGTTTGTTTCCTTTGGATACTGGAGCCCACTTACACCATTGGTTTGGAATCAGGGTTTTTAACCCACCTAGGTGAAATCTCCGTGTCCACCAACCTGGTTAAATCGTCGGACATTCACATTTCGTCCTCTCAATTTCACCCGACCGAAGCTGCTACCTTGACGCGGCGGTCGGGCTTGCCTATCGTGATGACCCAACCGAGCTATATTGGCTGGAACATATGTTCCTGTAGGTTCTACCATGCCAGGCAGGTCGATTGGAGAATGGTAAGACTAAAAGCAGCAACCCAAAGTCTGAGGGCGAAGTCGTACTGCTGACTGTAGATGGGTGTGACAACAGTAAGGTGTTTCTCTCAGACAACCAGCATCTACAGCGATGCTGCCTTCTCACAAGGAGGGGTGGGGTTAGAAAAGGTCAACCCTAAAGATGTCACACCTCACCTTACCTCACGGATTTCCGTCTCCGGCGGTAAGGCCCTTTGGAGAACGGAGCTAACACATTAAAAACCTTCCACAAAAAGGCCGTGCGCGACCGGCCTCAAGCAGTTGTCCCTTGGGCTCTGCGGTCACGCTCCCGGGCCGTTAAGACCAGCACTAATCCAATTTCCTTTTCAGGTTCCTCAAGAAATACCCTTCCACGGTGTGGGCAGCCGGGAAGTGATATCAGCCCTCATACCCGTAACAGCACAAGAGACCAAGGTGGTCACATTCAAATCTTTCCTACACCTTCTAATACCTCTCTTATCTCCCCGACTAACCCTCCCCACGTCTCTTTATCACCTCGCACCGCTAGGGCAAACGATTCGAGTACGTGGAACGCTATTCCTGGTCTCCTGAAACCACGCTCTAAACTACACGTAGGAGCTTTTAACGTACGAACACTTTGCCAAATAGGACAGCAGGCTTCCTTAGCTAAAACTTTAGAATCTCGCGCCATCGATGTGTGCTGCGTCTTTGAAACACGCATACAGGATCCGAGTAGCGTCATTCATTTGACCTCACCATGCCAAAATAAAGAACCAACTCGATTTACGCTTCGTGTATCTGGATGCCCTGATGCTGCTTCTCGTGGCCTCACCGGCGTAGGTATAGCATTGAGTCCTAGGGCAGAACTAGCTCTCTTAGAGTGGATCCCAGTAGACAGTCGTTTGTGCGCTGTCCGACTAAACGGAACACTAAGGACTCGGAAAGATAGGGACACTCGTCGTTGCCTCTTCGTCGTCTCTGCCTATTCTCCCACTGACTGCAGCTCAGATGATGTAAAAGATGAGTTTTACAGAAAGCTTTCGAACCTTCTTCGAAAAGCTAAGCGCTCGGATGTAGTAATAGTGGCCGGTGACTTTAATGCTCAAGTAGGTAAACTAAGTGATGGGGAAAGACACCTAGGTGGATCTTATATTGTCATGGCTCAAAGAACAGATAATGGAGACCGTCTGTTGCAGCTATGCTCAGATAACCGCCTGTTCCTTGCAAATACTAACTTTAAGCATAAGGCAAAACATCTTTTAACATGGCGACCCCCTAATTCGTCCCAACGTTGGACCCAAATAGATCACATCGCTATCAGCCACCGATGGAGGGGCTCGATAGAAGACTGTCGCTCATTCTGGAGCACATACTTAGATTCAGATCATACTCTAGTGCGAGCGCGTATTTGCTTGCGTCTTACTGGACGTAGGAAAGACGCTGCAAGGAAACCTCTTAGGGGCCTACTTAATGATAGTCAAGCTAAGAGTATATTTCAGGAAAAACTAGGAAAACAGTTAGGCAGCCATGTATGTGATGCCCATCCCGACGCAGCATGGAATGATATCCGAAAAGCTATGGAAACAGCAGTGATATCTGCTAGTAAGGTAAACCAGAAGGTTAGGGAGCAACACTGGATCTCAGCAGCATCTATCTCACTGATAGATGCTCGGAAACTCATTCCACCTGGCTCTGAACATAATGAAGAGCGGAGTCAGCTTAAGCGCAAGCTGACAAGAAGTCTACGCAATGATCGTGAACAGTGGTGGGTAGCGAAAGCAAGAGAGATGGAAAAGGCAGCGGCAATAAGTAATAGCAGACAATTGTTCATACTTGTTAAGGAAACCGGAATTAGGAACCCGACCGTTAGCGAAACAATCTCAGAGAAAGATGGACATATTATTCATTTTCAATCCAGGAGTTTGGATCGATGGGTAGAACACTTTAGGGATCAGTTCAACTGGCCTTCAGCCACACTTTGGTTTCCCACGATCTCTAGTCAACCTGAATGGCAAGTTAATGTAGTTCCTCCGCCTCTTTACGAAGTTGAAAAAGCCTTAGGAAATCTGAAACGAGGGAGAGCAGCAGGCCCTGACAGGTTTACTCCTGAGATTTTTAAGGATGTTGGTCCAGTATTAGCAATGAGATTAACCGAGGTCTTAGGTAGAATTTGGGAACTGGACGTAATCCCATCTGACTGGTCTCAATCACTGATTGTGCCAGTCTATAAGAAAGGACAAAATCCTCTTGTGACAATCATAGAGGAATCAGTTTGACTAATATAGTGTCTAAAATATTAGCTTCAATAATACTTCGACGCCTAATCAAAGCTCGTGAAGAGCAGACTAGAGAAAATCAGGCTGGTTTTCGACCTGGACGTGGTTGTATAGACCAGATATTCACACTACGTCAGGTTCTAGAACACAGGCACACTTTCAGATGCCACACAATGGTAGTATTTCTCGACCTTAAAGCAGCATTCGACTCTGTTGATCGTGAGGTTCTATGGCAGTGTTTGTCTCTGAAAGGAGTACCAAAGAAGTACATTAACCTTATAAAGGCTCTCTACTCGAACACAACTGGTCGAGTGAGAGCTTATGGTGAACTGTCATCAGAATTGATTACCTCAAGTGGTGTTCGTCAGGGCTGTCCACTCTCCCCATTCTTGTTCAACTTTGTCGTGGACGTACTTTTAGAGATAACACTTTTCTCGTCGAGATTTCCAGGGGTTGAACTTCTACCGGGAGATTCACTTGTTGACTTAGAATATGCCGATGACATAATTCTATTTGGTGAAGACGCTGACAAAATGCAAGTCTTCTGACCACTCTAAGCAACAATGCAAGCATGTTCGGGATGCGATTCTCTCCCTCGAAATGCAAAATATTGCTTCAGGATTGGGTTGCATCGACACCCGAACTGATGATAGGGAGTGAAACAATAGAACGAAACGGCCGTCCAATGCTTCCAGGTTTTCAATGGTGGTCTAACATCAATCGGTTCATGACCTCAATTAAATAAAACAACATATTTGGGGTCCGCGTGACTATAAGAACCAATAGTTCGAGAATGTGGGTGACATGACTCAGAATCGATCACAATGGTGTAGTTTGTCTTCCTTCAGACTATGAGTCTAAAATCGCTTCATATCTTTCTTTCTACAAACTAATTCTTTATTCGTGTATTATGTCCTTATACACAATCTTTCTTTATATATTACCACCACTGAATTAACTACTTCTATGTATCCGGTGTTCATCTTGTTGTGCTAATGAGGTTTGGCAACTTGGACTGATGCACATATTTGCCTGGTCCCAAGTTGTAGCTGACTGACTGACTAATTCTAAGCAACGATGCAAGCATGTTCGGGATGCGATTCTATCCCTCGAAATGCAAAATGTTGCTTCAGGATTGGGTTGCATCAACACACGGACTAATGATAGGGAGTGAAGTAGTCAACCGTGTCGATCGCTTCACTTATCTTGGAAGTCTCATCAGCCCTTGTGGTCTGGTGTGTAACGAAATCTCAGCACAGATACAGAAGGCTCGACTAGCTTTTGCCAACTTGCGTCATTTATGGCGTAGGCGAGATATCCGTCTATCAACCAAAGGATGTGTTAACTGCGCAGCAGTTCGTTACGTCGTACTTTATGGTAGTGAAACATACCCAGTATGAGTAGAGGATATTCGTAGGTTACTAGTATTCGATCATAGGTATCTTCGAAGCATTGCTCGTATATCCTGAGATCACCGGATAAGTAACTCAATTGTCATGAAAGGGGTACTAGGTAAGGATGGCAAATCGATAGATGAAGTCGTGAAACTTCATCAGTTGAGATGCCTGGGACATGTGTTACGTATGCCCGACCACCGACTGCTCAGACGAGCGATGTTTTATAGTGTACGAGTAGATTGGAAGAAATCTAGGGGCGGTCAGACCAAAACATGGCACAAATCCATGAAGTCACTGGCAATGGACTGAGACATACTGGTAGGTGTAGACTACCTGGTTGGGATCTGCGAGACGATAACAACTGATGGTTAGAGACCTTGAATGACACGATTCAAAATCGTTTGCAGTGATGTGAGCAGGTGTATACACTCTGTGTCTTCTTCCAAATCCTTATCTTCTGAATTCTTCATGTCCCTTTCTTTTTTTCTTTCCAAATTTATTTCACTGGATTATAATCGTTGAATGCTAGTAGCTTACAAATATATTTTACTGTTAATGACCATGTTTCGCAGCCGTAAAGTAGAACAGAACAAACTGCTTTACAGTATACTTGTCCTTTATTTGGTAGACAGATATCTCACCTTCGTCATAGGTGATATAATTTGGTAAAAGAAACCAAGAAAACAGATAACTTGTTGAACTATCTAAATGACAGGAATAGGTATCTCAGTTATTAAAGCAGGCTCC